TTGGGGGAGCGTACTTTTGACGTAGGCCATCCGATCGAAGATGGAATTCAGCGACCCGTCGTAGCCCCTCTTCTTGCCGAGAACCACGCCGTCCTTGATGATATCGTCCCCATGATACGCAGGGAGAGCGCCGTCCTTGAAGAGGCGGTAGGGCGGGTTGCGACCATCGGCAGCGTCGTACTTGACAATGTTTTCCGCCGTTTTCTTCATGTCAAAGTCGAGCTTTTCTTCGTCCCACTTGACGCCATCAACGAAGAGCTGGTTCTTATAGTTCTTGCCCTTGTTGCTATCGATGTGCCCGATAAACTCGCCGAGAGTGCAGACCGTCCTGGCCGGTTGTTTTGGTTTGCAGTGAAGATATTTGGGCTTAGGGCTGCCCGGGTCCTCACAGGGCAGCTCCTCCCTAGCGGGCCACTTTGCACACTTTACGCCTACTGTTCGCTGGTCCTCCGGTAAAAGCTGGTCGATTCGGTATGCATAGAAGAAGAGGATCTTCTCATATGCTGCTCGTCTACCGGCGCCCAAGGCTCTGGGAACGAGCCAGAGCAGGCTGAGGATGAAGACGGGAAACCGCATGATTAGGGACTGCTGTGAACGAAAACGTGGCGACGAGGAAACGAAGGTGCGAATGAAGGAGTGTATGAAGAAACGAATGCGTAAATAGGCTGAAGGAGCAACAGCGTCACCTCTACTGTCCCCGTTGTCCCGTTCGGTAACGATTCTTGAACATTGAGATTTTCGGCCATTTACAACGGCAGTATGAACATGTTATGGATGCAAGGAACGACAAGAGATGTTGGACCATGAGATGGAAATAAAATGAGATGGGAAATGAGATGGAACAAAGTAACAAGGTGATCCACCGGTCAGCGTAGGGCCTGATTTTGCCATATCCAGTATCTCATATCCGTACCTGCGTCAATATAGACCGTAGGGTGTGGGCCAAACAGGTGACCGCTCACAAGGCTTGCACCCCGGTCCCTTGGTCAGCCTCTGCCTGACCATGAGGGGGCGCATCTGGAAACGGCTCGTCAGCCTCGGATGAGCCGTCTGACGCCCACCCCATCGTCCTGTCCCAGGCCCGCGATATCTCGTCAAAGTTATCCGCTCCAACTTCAGGGATGTCGACGTCTGGCCAAGGGCTGATGATCTTTGTGCGGAATGGCGCCGGGGGGCACGGGGTGTACCAGACCTCCAGCTGAGAGATCCAATCCTGCAACAAGAGCGCCTTTTTCCTTTCCGGCCATGAGCCTGGCGTAGGATGTATCTCCAGGTGCTCGAGAGTCGCCATGTCCCTCACGGCACCACTAGTGTTCCAGAAGAAGGCCTCCGAGTCCCTGGACTCGAGCGCCAGGTACTTGGTGGGTGCATCCTTGGCACTCGACCAGATAGTAATGTCGAAGGCGGTCATGCAGACGGTATCGATGTCGTAGTTCACCATGGCGCGCGACGCCGATGATGCACTGCGGCCGCAACGAGCCTCCTGGGTATAATGGCCTCGGAGATGCGACCTCGATTCCGCGCAGGCCTGTAGAACGGCTGGTGGGCTTGATTGCGCATGGAGGTACTCGCATTTTCCAATAAGCACGTGCCGGGGCTCCATGCTCAGTTCCCAGATGCGTTGGCGCAGCTCGAGAGGCAGCCGGGAAAAAGGACCGAATGATGCCATTGGAATTGTCTGTCAACCTAGAGAGACCGAAGTGGCACGAGACAAGAATAGATGCCTGGTTGAGTGGATATTCGCCAAGGTAGATGGAATGTGATTGAAGCAAGGAGATAAAGGGACACGAAAGAATTCGACCAACTACTACGATATTTATATATCCGTCTTTAGATGTGGATCAGTTGCTGTTGGTTTAGGAGGGGGTAATCATACCCTAGGGTAGCTTTTACCGGGTGTTACATTACGTGATATCTACTAAGCTTATTTTTGTGGCCTTATCAAGGAATTGATCCGACACTTACATGGTTAAAGCACGTCGTATGACTTCCAATGAAATCCCACCCATCACACCCATGCCGATGATGACCCCCTGACAACTGACAGAGGAGAAGCCGGTTCTGGTTCTATTTCGGGTTGTGGACTCATGGGCTAATCTAATGGCGTCGTGACTCGACACCATCTGGCTGGTATTAGGATGTGCTTCGGCCCTCTTCTTCGCCGCCTTGTTGTCGTGTGTCCGCGCCTGTCAACCTCACGCTCATCCCATAGCGGACCATCATTCGTTTGTCCATCCCTCCTCCACTTGGCCTCCAAGTTGCAAGCTCAGCATCATGATTCTCTCTTCGCTCGCGTCGGCAGCCCTCTGGCTTGCCATGATGCCCCGGGAAGCCGGGGCGTCGGCAGTGCACCTGGGAAAGCGAGGCGAGACGCCTCAGGCCAATGTGCTGGCCGACACCATCAAGTCGTGCAGCTACTGGTATGACAACTACGAAGGCGAGAGCTGCGTCGTGGTGCGGGATTACATGTTTGCCATCTCCCCCGAGACATTCAGCCGCTGGAACCCGTCGGTCGGTCTCGACTGCAGCAACTGGCAAGACTGGACCTCGTACTGCATCCAGGTCGCCAGCGAAGAGCCTCCCAAAACCACCACCACCACCACCACCACGGCGAGCACCACGACGACTGTGCCCGCGCAGTCTCAGACGCCCACGGCCGTGCTGACGGGATGGAACCCAATGGGCTGCTTCATCGACGACCACACGTTGGCCACCGAGTCGACCAAGGCTGGCGGCAGCAGCAGCCTCACTGTGGACAAGTGCCAGGCCGCGTGCTGGAGCGAGGGCTTCCGCTACGCCGGCGTCAAGTCGGGGACCGAGTGCTGGTGCGGCTCTTTTGTGGGCGGCGACTGGGTCGCAAACCAAACCTCGTGCAACGTGCCCTGCCCCGGCGACGCGAAACAGACGTGCGGCGGCAAGGCGCTGCTGCTCGTGTTTGAGGCTCAGGTCAAGACGGATCCTCTGCCGCCCATCAGCATCCCATCGACCACCTCCCGCACAACTGCTATTACATCCTCGTCCGTCTCGCTCACTTCGTCAACGTCGACACCATCGAGCACTGCACTTCCACCCATCTCCTCTCTCCCAGCCTGCGGGCAAACATGTTTCTTGAATATGATCAACACATACTCATCCCTTGGATGCTCCACCCCCGGTCCGGCATGTCTGTGCCGCAATGTCAACTTCGGCTATGGCATCCGGGACTGCTCAAATGCAGTCTGTGGAGTGGCCGATGCGAGCGCAGTAATTGCATACCAAAGCAAGTACTGCGCCAGCGCACTAGCAACTGCTACGGGTGGAACGCCAACTCCAACTCCAGCTACAAAGACCACTTCCGCATCTTCCACAACCGCCATCACAAGCCTGCCAACTTGCGGTCAGACATGTTTCAACAACATGCTTGCGCAATATGAATCATTGGGATGCACATCCCCTGATCCGTCTTGCCTCTGCCGCAACGTCAACTTTGGATATGGTCTGAGAGACTGTTCTAACGGTGCTTGTGGAACGAATGTTGCTAGTACTGTTATTGCGTATGGTAGTACCTATTGTGCTGCTGCTACTGCCACGGCGGCAGCTTGACGGGAAATGGTTTGACGGTCTAGATGAGAATTGTGAATTATAATTATTTTTGCTTTAATGATTGTTTTCGATGAGAAGAGAATTTCTTTGAGACGGTATTTCTCCGTCGAGGAGGGGGTTTATTACCATTTTCCAAGGTCTTGCCCTTATATCTCAGAACCTGTTTCCACGCTGTGATTCCTTCGTGTTCGAGAACGTAAAGCTTGACGTCGAGTATGGTTTCGCCATAGGCGCGAAACACCTTGCCGTCGTAGCTGACCTGGCTCCCTCCCGGGTACGCGAGCTGCCTCGACAGTCTCAGGCAATGGTCAGAATCCTGCAATATAGCTAATCAGTTTCGTGATGACCGTAGAGAATGAAGCAATCTCAAAATTGCAGACGAATAAATTATTAAAATCAAATGATAGATCTACTATAGCCAAGACGATATAGGAGTGAAAAGCCGGCCTGTGCGACTGCAGATAAATAAAGTCAGAGGAGAACAGTGAGATTAGGAGATCAACAGTAAAGGGCAGCTGGTTGCATTTCTAAAGCCCTCATAGGACGTAAAGGATGAGCAGACTTAGAGAGAGAAGGGGGGGACGCAGAGACCTGGAGGAGGCCAACAGTTAGGCCGCCCTTCACGCATGGCCCCGCCTTGAAGGACGTCAAGCATGATGATGAGACTGGGGGCAACGCGAAAATAGCAATAAGGCGATGCTAAAAGGTCTGGGGAGGAAGAAGGCGGGGGTGTGAGAGAAGGATGATTTTGTCGGGGCGGGTGGGCGAATTGAAGTAGTTACAAACGGCAGACTGTACAGCGTCGAAGCAGCGGCGGCGTAACCCGGCACCGTTTTGTCTGATAAGTTAGCCGGGATCCTGCTCTTCTAGATAACCCTGCCCTCACTGGCTTATGTATGGGAGAGCGGACGGGATCCCGAGCTCTCCAGTGGGTATGGTCGTATGTGCTCTTCTGGGCTCCGTAAGTCGATTATGATGGCATCGTGAAGAAATGCGCGAACCTCATACCTTCTTTAAGGGCCAATCCTACAAGCACCGCAACTCATGCACCCTCAAACATATCATGTTCCAGAACAGCATTTAATTAAAATATTAAGAGTGCTGCTATTAGATGGTTGATGTCTTCCTACGTAGAGGCCGGCCTAGAGCCTGTAGACCTTGTGTTCGCCCCCTCTCAGCTGTCGATCACGTATCATTTGGTTTTGCTCCTGTGTCTCGTCTGAACGCAAGATATGCAGGATATAGAGGACCGTAATTCCAGTCATGAAATTTCGTTGAAATCACCAACAACAAACGTGTTCGTGGACGAGCCGCCAGTAAACCCAAGTGAGATATCATACGTCTAACCAGTCCATCTACTCCTCAAGCGACAGAAATGAAAACGGTTGCAAATAGCCCTCACATTCACAGATTCTGCATCAGTATCTGCCGCCTATCCTCTCCAGATCCGCACCTTCCAGTACAGGACTGTCCATTCTTCCATCCTCGTTTTGTGCCGAACTCACCCCGATTCCCGCCCCGCCGCCCCGCGCTCCCCAGCTGCCCCAACTATCCCTCTCCAACGACTCTCGGGTACTAGTCTTTGTCGAAATGTATACATGCTTCGGTTCCTCCCTCGGAATCACCCCTGGAGCAGCTTGCCGCGGCGGTACGCGCTCGCCACTGCTGCGACTCTCCGTGTGCTGCTGCTGGTCCCGGGACAGAGCCGCAGGTCCTGAGGGGCTCCGAGACGGTGGAGAAGGCAGCGATCGGTTGGGTGGCGGGCCGGGACACACAAGATCTGGTATGCGGAGCAGCTTGTCGCAGGGACGGACAGGGCGCGTCGGCGACAACGGAGCAAGGGCCGGAAACGAGCTCGAGATGCTGGATACTGTGGTGGCTGTGCGTCCGCTCGTAGCGCTGCTCATGCTTGCCGTCTTCCCGGCCTGTGGGCCGCCTGCGAGGTCGCCCGGCGGGGGTACGCGGTAGTATGGCTTGGTTGAGCGGTCAAACCCAGGCGAGTGTCTGCTGGACGTCAGGGAGGAGACTGAGGATTTTGACAAAGGGCCTCCCTGCGCTACGACGGCGCCCAGTGGTGCTTTGGGAGTGGTGATGATGATGCTTGGTCTGCTCGGGCTGGGAGAGACTGGAAGTAGTCTACGCTCTTGGAGACGTGGCGGCGGCGTTAGTGGAGGAGCATGGATGGCTCCATGTGCCGAGCCCAAAGGCGGCAGCAAGGGAGTGGGTGGGCTGGCTTCCTGTACGTCCTGGTGCGTGATCTCGATCGTCGTATCTCGACTGCGTGTCCGGCGGCGCAGGAGGCATATGGCAAAGGCCAGGATCGCAAGGAAAGCTATGCCAGAGGCAGCCCCTATGGCCGCCTTGGCACCCGTCGGCAAAACGGCGTGTCCATCTTCTTCATAGTGACTGGAATTCGACATGGCGCCTGTGGTCTGCATTGTCGATGTTGTGGTCTGTGTGAGATGACCTGTGACGATTGACGTAGACGATGTGATTGTTATAAAGTCCGGAGTAGGTGTCGCCAGAGAGTTGGTATTGCTCGAGACAGGACCTCTTGCATCGGTCATCATGAAAGGTTTCGGGCACGGATTACTGGGCTCGCCGACGGATGACATGGGGCAGGTATATCCGGCTGGCGGCGGACCCGGGTCTTGAATGATGCCGGAGCCAAGGCTATACATGGCGTAAGCCGTTGTGGGTGCGGAGGGTTCAAGGGGCGACTCACTTTTGACAGGTATTGATGATGAAGTTGACACTGGCTAAAGACCCCATCAAAACAAGTTCATCGAGACGTGGCGTCCTTCTTCTACTCACGATCTTGGCCGAGGTTCCCATTCAGCTGGACTCCGCATGATGCTGAATCGCAGCAATATACCTCCCATAGTCTTTCCGCCGCCTTTTGACCATTAGACAGCGCTTTACACACCTCGGGGTACCTCGTCTTGTCGAAGCCAGGTACTACACTCTCAAGAAATCGGGCTCGACACGTCTCGATACACTTTGGGGGATCTGGAACATTGCTCGCGACCTTGGCCCATGACTTTCCTTCGTCATCCGGTTCCAAATAGCAGGTGTCCGACACCAAGCTCATGTTGCCCGCGTTCCACAGGACTGCCTTGCCGTCCGAAGCCCTATAGGTGGTCTGGTGAGTGTAACAGCGAATACGGTATCGTCTTCGTCGAATGAGTATGGATTTCGGGAATAGGGAGACAGGAGGCCAAACTAGTGAATATGTATATATATATGGGCTGGAGTGAAGGTCTTGCTGTCAAAAGGGTAGCAAGGTAAGAGTAGAAACACCCAAGCGGCTGACGACGTGTTTCAACCACAAACAGGGCTCGAGGAGGTGCTGGAAACTCAAGTGGAAGCCCACGTTGTCGCTATATACCATTACCACGTCCATACACCGGTGGCACGCGCGGAAGGCGTCTCGGTGACAGTGAGAGGTCGACAAAGGGGAATGAAGGATCCATTCGAACACGCGACTATTGGCTGCATCGCGATGTGCCTGTCCGCTGCCGGTCGAAAATGACCTCGTACGGAGGTCTGGTTGTACAGCACGCAGAAAGATTGGGAGGTCAACTGCACGCACCCGACTGGGCACAAGGAGCATGAAGAGAGGGGGCTTTGGGCATGGAGGTTGACGTAGGCAGGGCCGTGGGTCCGCCACAAGCAGAAGACATGTAGGTGGTCGCTGGCCAGAAAGTGGCCAAGAATCCTTACTTGGTTAGTTTCCGAATCTTTGCGTGTGACGGGGCTGCATCGAGTATCTCCGAGGAGGAAAAGGGGGGGGGGGGGGGGGCTGAGTTCTCGATGTGTGTTTGTTCTTGCTCGACGTCCACCAGGCTCGTATCGTGGATTCCTCGATCGTAAAAATGTTCTCGTCATCCTTTCCAGCTCATTCAGCCCTGAGAGAACCGGTCTTGGCATGGCATCATAGAATCCGTGATTGGACCTGTGCCGCAGAGCCCTCGTGTCACGAACGGCCTTACTTCGCACGAACTGGTCGAAAACCCTAGGGCGACAGGGACAGCTTTCGGAATCCGATCCATCCGCTCGGGGGGGGAGGGATCTGGAAAAAAAAAAGAAAGACTCAACGCTGGATCTTTTTGAGTATGGTCTTTGCTGAGAAGGTCCGTTGAAAAGCTTACCAAGCCTATACGGGCCAGGCCTTGCCGCATATTTCACCCGAGTGAAGCCTGCGAAGGTGACACGACCTGTCCGGGATCGTCAGGTAGGGACTGAAGAACACGTACCAAGGTGTCACAGGGCTGCGACCCAATGGATTTCGACAGTAGGCGAGCTCACACGGCTCACTGTGAGACTTCTACGAGATGCCTTCCACCAGGGGGTTAGCGCAATCGTGCTGTCGGCCAATTTGGGCACATCCTCCTTTGCATGAGCCTGGATCGGCTATTGATGCCATTGAACCTCCCGGGTACACGTTGAAAAAGGAGAAGATGTACGTGGCATCAGAGGACGGTTGTACGCGTTGTACTCCAGCGGTGTAGAGATGATGCAAATGGCACTCATCTCGAAGCAGTATGCGCAAGCAGAACAAGGGATGCCTCGATCTCCTTCGTATGTGCCAGGGGGTCTCATACATCGTATATCGGCTATTGGTAATCTTTCCAGAAAGACCAATCTATCCTTGATAGAATAAAGTGTACATCTTCTAGAAGGCCGGGCATTGGCTCAGAACCAATGGATGTCCGCGTTGGCACTGCAAAATCATGCTTTCAGCCGTCATACAAGGTTCGGCGATGCTCTTGGCACGGAAATGTACGGGCGTAAAGTAAAGCCTGCAGCAAAATTCTGCATTCAGGAACAGGAACCCGCACAATCGACGGCATGCTATGTGTATCTTGGTGTGCTTGGCCAGCGCAGGGCTGTGTAACTCGTGCGCAAACTTCCCACGGTGATTATATTGAGAAGCCGGGGACTACCAGGGGCTGCTCGAATATGCTGCCAATAGGACATTCCATCAGTGCTGTCAGTGTCTTGACTCGGGCTCTTGGCTGGACAAGTAGATGAGCACTTTTCCAACGCTGATAATAAGCACAAACATTCATTGAGCGACAGTTCCAGTCATTCATTCAAACTTCTGCTTCTGGAAAGAAGAGTGTAAATGGGGACAATGGCGGTCGCAAGGATAGTACGCCTCCCCGGCATGTTGCAGAGGAAATCCCGACATGTTGCTTGCTGGGTTCCGCCCAGCCACAAGCTGTTGGAAACGCGCGGACCTTGTCGTTCACCAACACGGCGACAGTATCTCGGCCACCACAGATCTTCATGGGCCGACGCTGCAGACAAGATAAGAAAAAGGTAACAAATGTACTCTGTATCATCAGTGAGGGGTTTCCGGTGGGCTTTGGGCCTCCGAACCGGCCGGGGAATCATTTCCGGGCGGGTGCCCCGCTGATATCTGGGGTAACACCACCAATAGCGGACCGTCGTTTGACAGGTGGTGGGGCCTCCACGTCCCATCCCGGTGAGCCTCGGCCCAACCCATCTCGTGTGTTCCAACCACCTTCTCCGTACATGTCCATCTCTCTCACCTCACGTCCAACATCCTTTTCTGATACCTTCAACAGCCAACTGCGCCACTGGCCTGCATTTTATTTGTTCCCATTTCTTGCAGATATCCAAGCATTGGCACACGCACCTTCTCGAAACCCGCAAAATAACACCCTCTTGTTCAATCCATCTACCCCCTGCTCCATCATCATGTCGGACAAAGCGCAGCAAAGGCTCCAGGCTCTGGGCAAACATCTGGATGCTCCTCCTCCCCTCAAGATCGCCGGTCCCTCTGCGGCACCCCGGGTCCCGGGCAAGGTCATCATCATCACGGGTCAGTCTAACCTCCCGAAGCTCTGTGACATGCATGCTACACGCCAAGGACGCGCCGCTGTCAAAAGTGTCGTCTGACACTTGGAAACCAGGCGCAAACTCGCTCATGGGCATTGGTCGCGCCTCGGCCCACCAATTTGCCGAGAACGGCGCCCGGGCAATCTACATTTGCGACTACGCCAATGACAACCTCGAGCCGCACAAGAGCGAGCTCAACAAGCTGTATCCCAAGGTCGACGTGCACACCCGCCAGTTCGACGCCGCCGACGAGACCGCCGTCAAGGAAGTCGTTTCTCACGCCATCACCACTTACGGCAGGCTAGATGTCTTTTTCGCCAACGCCGGCATCACCGGGCCGCACAACGTCTTTACCGACATTGGCGAGGAGGACTTTATGCAGAACATGCGAACTAACGTCTTGAGGTGAGTAATTGGTATTTATATATACACACTCACACACACACACACACACACACACAAATACTGCCACATCTCATGCGGCCGCGTCTTATATACTGAACCCGCTCCCAGCGTCTTCCTTGCCGCCAAGCATTCGGCCCCCGCCATGGCCAAGACGTCGACCGAGAAGAAGACCCCCGGCGGCAGCATCATCCTCACCGCCTCCGTCGCCGGCCTCCGGTCCAACGCCGGCACGACCCCCTACTCTGCCGCAAAGGCCGCCGTCATCTCCATCGCGCAGACCTGCGCCTACCAGGCCGCCGGCTCCAACGTCCGCGTCAACGCCATCTGCCCGGGCCTCATCGAGACGGGCATGACGTCGCTCATGTACGACACGGCCCGCGCCCGAGGCACCCAGAGCAAGATTGGCCAGGTCAACCCGTTGAAGCGCGGCGGCCACGCCGACGAGATCGCCCGCGTCGCCCTCTTCCTCGGCAGCGACGAGAGCAGCTACGTCAACGGCCAGGCCTGGGCCGTGGACGGCGGCTTGAGCGCGGGACACCCGTACGTGCTTGGAAAGCTGGCCTGAAGAGCGTGAAGCGACTTTCGACCATGTCTTTCTTTCTTTTTTTTTCTTCTTTTTCTATTTGCGTCGTCTTCGAAGCGGGTTGGGGTGTGTACTCATGTTATTAACAGGCATATGTTTGAATACGTCATATCTCCAGAGGGAACTTTTGAAGGCGTCGTGCCCGCATAGAGCATGCGACGGCTACGTAAGACGCCACGCGGCCGAGGCTATGACATGGACCATGGGGCTGGTCTCACAGAGATTGGAACGAGGTTAGGATAGGATCCGGCGGGTGCGTGGCCCTTTGGTGGTGCCCAGGGTGGACTTTCGACGAAGCAACTGAAAGGTCATTGGGCGGGCCAGGCCGCGAGGAGGAGGAGGAGGAGGAGCATGGTTGCGTTGGCCCTGTTGATCTGCACTCAGCACTTTATCAGGGATCTCCACTGGGCGAGCTTGAACAAATCTGGATGCCGCTACCACATTCCATCTTCGAATCCATGTTCCGGCGCCTCTCTGGTGGAGAAGCAAACAACCATATCGCGTTTCCGCCGGTTTCCTCAGCTACCTTTATCTGACCAACAATACGCGTATAGCAACGTAGCTGCGCCGCCAGACAAGGCAGCTTCGTTATGTTCACTCTTGCTTTCGTTGGCCTATGATGCGGCCCAACATGTTACAACGTCAAGCTTCTAGAGTCGACCGTAGCCTGAGAGATCCAGCATAAACCAATCTAGCAAACTCTGCATGTCGTGCGTGACGGAGACTCTCGTTGGCTTCTCAGCAGGCAAGGCCAGCAGGCACCGCAACTGGACGAATCTGATGTTACCTAGGTAGATCTCTTCTCCTCTCCAACCAGCCCCCGCCCCCCAACATAAAACGAAGTAAATTGGATTCCAGACAAATCTTGACATGTTGGGCCAAGCGGCCTCTTGGCACGGGGAATGGCCGCGTAATGTAGCATCGTTTCCTCATTTCCTCTTCCACTCGTCGTCAGCCTCCTACAAGTCGACACGTCCGTCCGCCCACATCCCGAAGCGCCCTACATTCAGATTAAATCACCGCTCGTCTCCACGTACCGGGGCTGGACCCACACATATAACCCGATGCTATACTCCGTACTCATGACCACAAATCGCATTGCGCGGATCTGAACGGCGCCATGTGCCGCGATTTTAATCGCGTCCGTCTCCATTGGACGGCAGCTGAGAGCCGCATCGGGAGCGTAGACAATGCCCTTCTTTCGGGTCGCTCTCCTGCAGCACGCGGGGGGGGGGGGGGGACGCAGATCCCTCCCAATCAGCCACCGGTCCGGTCCGACTGCCAGGATCCCTTCCCACAATCCTCCCGTCTGCTAGAGCGTGCCACTGCTTCACCGCACCTCCCATGCATCGGTGGAAACAACATTGGGGGAAGATGACGGCGGTGTCTCGCGAAACGCCCCCTTTCCCGAAAGTGTGGGGGATTTAGGCGTCTTGGCTTGGTCTGGCATGTTGTTGCTTCTTGCGTGCCTCGTGCTCGATCTTCCTCCGAGCTGCTCTGGGGGACTCATCGAGGGGCGGAACACTGCAACGGCTGTCACGCCAAGACGTCGTCGTGAACAGTACGGGGAAGGCAAAGAGAATGCCATGGATCACGAAAACGCCAAGACTGAGTGTTATGAGAAGGAAGCAGGTTTTCCTCCAAGACGGCGAATCCACCTCGTATCTCACCAAGCTCTTCATCCTTGCTCTCCTTCAGTCTCGAGTCTTCCGTAGGCCGTTACAGACCTTGGCTGTTTTCTTCACTTGTGAGCATTTTTCCCGCCGTTCATCCTTCAACCTCATCATGACGCTCCGCTCCGTTCTCGCGGCGGTCTTGGCCATCTCCCCCCTCCTGGGGTCCGTCGCCGCTCACGGCAACCACTCCCCCGAAGAGATCGCCGCCGAGCTGGCACTCCGCGACCTGGTGACAGTTCACGGCAAGCGCGCCCTCGACGCCTGCTCCGGCTCCCCCGCCGCCCTGGCCCTCAAGCAGCGCGCCCTCGAGCGCCGCGCCGCGACCGCCCAGCAGCTGCGCGACAAGCGTGGCCTCGGCGGCCAGAAGATGCACCGGAAGCGCGACAAGGCCGACCTCGAGGCCTGGGCCGCCATCGACCACGAGTCCACCGAGGGATTCACCCTCGACACCGCCATCGAGGACATATTCGGCTCCGACGTCACCTGCACCCTCGTTCCCGAGTCCATCATCGGCCCGTACTACGTCGAGGGCGAGCTCATCCGCACCGACGCCACCGACGACCAGCCCGGCGTGCCCGTCCATCTGGACATCCAGTTCATCGACGTGGCGTCCTGCACGGCCGTCCCGGAGCAGCTCATCGACCTCTGGGCCTGCAACGCCACCGGCGTATACTCGGGCGTCGCGGCCGCCGGCCAGGGCGGCCTCAACACGACCTTCGGCCGCGCCGTCCAGCAGACCGACGCCGACGGCGTCGTGCAGTTCGACACCATCTTCCCCGGCCACTACGTCGGCCGCACCACGCACTTCCACATCATGTCCACCGACGGCGCCGAGATCCTCCCCAACGGCACCTTGGAGGGCGGCACCGCGCGCAACATCGGCCAGCTCTTCTTCGACCAGGGCATCATCTCCGAGGTCGAGGCCCTGGCCCCCTACAACACCAACACCCAGGCCCTCACGACCAACCTCGAGGACGGCATCGCCGCGGACGAGGCCACGGCCGAGTACGACCCCTTCCTCAAGTACGTCAGGCTCGGCGAGGACCTCAACGACGGCCTCCTCATGTGGATCACCATCGGCATCAACACCACCGCCGACCACAACGACGATGTCAGCGCCGCCGCTCACTACTACGAGGGCGGCGGTGTCGACCAGAGCAACGGCGGCGGCTTCCCCGGTGGCCCCGGCGGCCCCCCGTCCTAATCGCAGCACTCCTACTGCTGCTCCCGGCACCGGATCCGCTTTAGACGACTCCTACTACGTCGCTTGTATTGGAAAATGTTTATTGCTGCTGCTGCCTGAAAAAAAAAAAAAAGGATTCTGCTAGAGCCCCGTAACCCAATGGCCAGCTTGGTGCGTGTACATACTTGAAGAGAGCCGTGTGGATTCGGCTGTTGTAGCCTCGATTAGGTTTAGCTGAGGGCTGAGCTTGGTTATCGAACATCTGGAAAGGGGACATCTTGTTTCTTTTATATATAACTATATATGTGTATATCATTGCTTTTTCTCATATACTCCAGGATGTGAACTGTATAGTGATTGCGAGATACCCACAGTCCACTCCTGCATTGTTAATCCCCATCTAAAAAAACACCACTTGCCGTATGGCATCGATTCCAGCAACGCCGTCCATTGTTACGGAATCCGCCAGTCAAAACACGATGCTATCGGCGGCAGGGCGGGATTGCCGGCACTGTCTCGGGCCGCCGAGTGCCCCTCCCCCCTCCCCCCCGGTAACCCACAGCGGCCCCACCAACAGGAAACAACCCCCCGACGTTGATGTACCCGCCGTCCACTCAACCCCGAACAAAGGAAACCCCCCTTAATTCACACATCTCATCCTGTCCCTCAATTCCAACAAGAAACCCCCTCCGCCCCCTCCCGCCGAAAACTAAAAACAAAATCAGAAATAAATATATAACAAATCAAAATGGCGACCTCGGGCATGCACCACGCTCACTGCGACGCCAACGACGGCTGCAAGCTCGCCTTCCAGTCCTCCCTGCCCCTCTCGGGCGCCGCCTCGGCAACGCAGTGCGTCCTCCTCATGCACGGCTTCAGCGGCTCGAGCGACTACTTCCAGTTAAAACGAGGACCAGGCGCACGATTCTTCCTAGTCGATGTGGATGGCAAGACAAAAGTTTCGATCCCGATCGCCCATGAAAACCCGCTCAGGTGCATGGACTGTAATAGTATTCAATCTCCGTAACCATTACTGATGTTCGTACCAGACCCGTCTAGAACTAGGGGGCCCGTCGCGGTGTAACACAATAAAAATGGCATTGCGTTTCCGTATTGTAGTTTTATTTCCAGCTAGGTGCATATATTGGTACTTATGTGAAGGCGGAACGCCCCACATTGTATGTTCGGTGTCAATGATTGCAAGACTACCTCCCAAGGTCAGGAGGGTCCCGCCCGTAGACCCGGCTAAGCAATCGCTCTCTCGAGATGGTATAGCGCCGTGGTGTGTTTGAGAGTGTGCCGCCGTGACAGAGCAAAGATCGTAGGTCCCGGTTTGGGGTGCAAGACGGCGTTCTGTGTAACTTAGCGAAGGCGTTGACACTTACTGACCCCGACGGGCTGTCTCAGTAACCCGACGAGAAGAGGCGGCAGGACGAGCCCTTCTTCACGGGCATCAGCGCGCTGTGCGACCCGGCGTGGCTGGCGAGGCTGCTGGCGGACCACACGCGGTACGACCACCGCGAGGCCATCGAGGCCATCAGCGTGCCGACGCTCGTCATGGCCGGCCGCCGGTCCGGGTGCTTCCCCCTCGAGGGCATGCTCGAGACGGTCAGGCGCGTGGAGAAGGCCAGGCCCGGCCTGGCCAAGGCGTCCGTGTTCGAGTCCGGGCACTGGCTGTTTTACGAGCAGCCCGAGAGGTTCAACAGCGAGATTGTCGAGTTTGTGGGCCAGTGCTCCAAGTGAGTTGGGTCTGTGTGTGTGTGTGTGTGTGTGTGTGTGTGTGCGTGTGTAGAAGAAGAAAAAAAACGGCACTAGAAGACGGGAAATGAGCCTATAGACTGGAAGATAAAAGTGGGAATGAAACGACTTATGTGATGGAATCAAGCAGATGATTGACTCTTGTATTTAGCCAAGAGAACCCCCAACGAATTCTGGCTTGAGCGAGCTGTTAACCGCAACGAGACGGTGCTGAGACCCGATTTGGAAAGACTCGGGAGCCCAGCTTTGAGAAGAGGCCATTGAACCACGCATCTTTCTCATCGGCAGTGCATTCCGTCCAGTCTTTGAAGTTTAGAGCCCTTCCCGCCCCTTCAACTGATTTCGAGGCATTTTGGGTCACAGCCGCCGGCAACGTCCCCCCCCCCCCGGCCAGCGCAGAGAAGCAGGTTCAAGAAACCAACAGTCTATTAATCCTACAGAAAAAAAGGGGTTCATGCCAACCGCCCACTGCCGCCATTTCGTGCACCCCCAATCACGCATCGTCCTCGAGCCCGACCAGCTTCAGGCTCTCGGCCCACAGCCTCTTCTCGGTCGGGGGGTCGTAGGCGGAAGGCGCGTAGCCAGGGCGGGCTATAAAGCCCTCGGGCGTGGCCTCCTCGGCCTCGGCGACGTCTTCGAGGTACTTGCCACCCTTGCCCTCCAGCTCGGCGGCGACGGCGGCCCAGACGGAGGTCGCGGCGCCCTGCTCGGGCGTCTTCATCACCCGGGCGATCTCGGGATCCTCAATAATCTCGTCCATGCGCCCGGCCGGGTGTCTCTGAAGCTCCGTCATGATGCCGCCCGGGTGGAGGCTCAGGGCGTGAAGGCCCAATGGGCCGTAGCGGCGGTCGAGCTCGTTGGCGAACAGGATGTTGGCGAGCTTGGACTGGGAGTAGGCCGCCCAGGGGTGGTACTCGACGGCGCCCTCGAAGTTGAAGTCCTCGAATTGGATCCGGCCCTGGCGGTGGCCCAGAGATGAGACGGAGACGACGCGGGAGTTGAATTCGGGGGTCGAGGAGGCCAAGAGCGCCGGCTTCAGGAGCTGGAAGAGAAGGAAGTGGCCTTTTGTTTTCAGTGTTAGTTAGTGGACATTGAGTCGGCGCAAGGGCTCGTCACGCTTACCGAGGTGATTGGTCCCGAACTGGGTTTCGAGCCCGTCGACGGTCTTTCCCTGGGGGCAGGCCATGACACCTGGCGACAGAATTAGAACCCCTCTCAACGGTGTTACTCAGACCGAGTCTAGCCTTACCGGCGTTGTTTATGAGCACATTCAGCTTGTCGGACTTGCTCAGGAAGTCGTTTGCGCCCCGTCTGACGCTTTCCAGGGAGCCGAGATCCAGCTCGATGACTTGGACCTTTCCGGGCTTGCCGTCGGAGAGGATGTCTTTGGCAACTCGGTCGCCCTTGGCGGCGTCGCGGGCGGTGATGTAGACGTCGGCGCCGGCGACGTGGAGGGCCCTGGCGGTCTCGGGGCCGAGGCCGCCAGGGGAGCAGCCCGTGACGATGACTACCTTGCCGGCCCACTTCCCGACGAGGCCTTGGTCTTCAATGATCCGAATGGCCGTGGGGCGGGAGTCCCCGGGGCCGGTGGTTTTTCTGTGCTGTTCATAGTAGGGGGCCAGACGAGACATAGTGGTGAAGGTGGAGTGGCGGTGGCTGTGGGAGGAGGGTTTGATGATGGAGGCGAATCGGTAGATGGATGCGAATGCTGGTATGGTGTTTTGTTTTTCAAGCAGAGGACAGAGGAAGGCGGCATGCTGTTGGAATTTCATCATCTCGTTGGTGTCGGTGAACCATGGAGTTTTATATCAGAACGAGAGCGGCCGCAAGAACCGCACTCCTGCTCCATACTGCCGGTAGCCATGAACTGTGTGACGCCATTGAACGGAGCGCCGGAGTTAAGGCCATAGCAAAATGCTTGCCTGATTGGGCAGCCAGAGCTTTGGTGGCGCCATCATGGCGATATTCCTTGTGCCCACTCTGTACATTCGTTCGATAGCTTGAGCAGATATTGTATGCACGATGGAGGACATAACGCAGTTAAGACGTCTCTAGGGGGATAGGCGGATGAGGTAATCGGCCGGCGATAAGGGACCACTTTTGGCGCTCGTGCTGCTGCTTGACAGTGTAGCTAGCACGTGACGATTGGGTATACCTACAGGTACCTACTACCTGTACGTAGGTTCGGCCCCGGTGGCTCGTGCATTCTCCGTCTCCACTCCCGAGTTGCTACACCGACCGGTTGCCCGCCCCCTTGGCTCTGGTTGTCCCAGGGCTGTTGTGCAGGCTAGCAGCAGCGTATGCTGGCGTCTAGGGACCACAGGGTTGAAGTCATGAGCGGCTGTCAAAGGCACGCTGTTGTAAGCTAGGATGCTCGGGAGACTTGCCCCCGTAACATTCCGCGTTGGTACGAATGGACGCGACGAATGGATTGGGTATCCCTTGTGAGAAAGGTATGGTGATGATGATGATGATGATGATGAATGACCAAGGCCCGCAATGGAAAGTTCCTAAACCGGGTATCCGTGTCTGTAGACCATGGCCCCGTCTGATGGTTCCTGACTCATACCACCACCGTATTGTGTATTTTATCGGTGATTTTATCGGTTGCAATTTCCCCATCCATGATATCCATGTTCTGAAGTGGCAGCAAGCACGGCAATTGTGGTGGTGTAATGGTGCACTTCCACCCTAACAGAACTCTCTCTACCTGCTGTATCCGTAGAATGGCGTTAGAGGCTTTCCCCGCAGGCGTCCATCGTCCCAGCATTTGCTTTGCTCCCTGGTCCGGACCCCCGTCCTGACCCGTTCCTTTCCAAATCCCCCTCACGAATCTCGGCACCTCTTCCTGGTCAGTCACGGCCGCGAAACCGGGTCGAAGCGATTAGGTAGACGATCCAGAAAGCTTCATTGTTTGGTGCAATGTTGTTGGCAAAACCTGCTGGTGTACGGGCAACCAACAACACCTCCAAAAACAAAACACCAGCCATCACGACGACCGCCAATCGCCCCCCCCCCAAAAACTACATTGTGGCTTAAGGGTAAAGGCTGTAGGTGCTATGCATGCTCCTCTCTCTCTCTCTCTCTCTCTCTCACCTTATACTGATCCTCTCATCTGTCTCAGCGGCTGAGCAGCGAGTGATCCAATCATTGCCAACATCAACACACCCGAGTGCGAAGCGAGTCCATCCTACAGGAGCAAAATAACCGTCATTCAGAGAAAGCCTACTATGTAGACGGGTACCGCCTGTGGTCGACAGGTTCCAAGAGCAAGAGCAGCAGCAGTAGCAGCCTCGACATGGGTACAATATCTCATCTCGTTTTCTGCACGTGAGAAGCCGAATCTACGCCCAAGAAACCGTTTCACTCGGACCAAGAGCCGGTCGGCAAAGAAAAAAAAACAAGGACGGAAAGGATAAAACAAGCTGCAGAGACCGGCCAAGGGACGGGACGTGTGCACATGCTACACCAACCCACCCGCATAATTCCCTTCCCTTCCTTGCTGGGCAGTTTTCCTCCACCGCCGCCACCAACAAGCTCCACGCCCACACGTACCTACCATACCATCATCCCTCCCTCTATCCTCTAGGTATCCAAGGTACGGATACAGCCCAACCCAACCGCACGCTATTACCTGCCACCATCAGCCCCCCTCATATTCACACACACACACACATCCTTCTCCAGAGCTTCTCTGGCATTGTCTTGCTGACGAGCGAGCCTGCTACTAATTACTGCTTATTCTTACGGATACACCTTGAGGGGGATCGGTGAATAAGCTGCATCAGCCCGGATTGTACCCACTCAGAGCTGAGGTACCCTGATTTCTAGGTTCGCCTTGCTGAGTTACCCAGCTTTCCACGATTTTCCTGGGCCCCCAGACCGAGAGAGGTTCCTGTTCCACCTGCTCGTCAACCTTCTCGACTCTTCTTCTCCTTCTCTTATTCTTCTTCTAATTGCCACCCCGCCCGCCCACACTACCACAATCGCTCGCCCGCCCTTCCATCACGTCTCTATACTCCGCCGTACGGCGCTGCTTCTCCAACCCCCCCCTTCGACCTTTGCGCGCCAACGTCCCATCAACGCTCATCTCGACGCCGGTCTGTGCACTAACCCTCTCCCATAGCGCCCTGACGACGCCAAACAGGCTCCCGGCCGATTGTGATCTGGTTCATGTAATGCCGCCGCTGGGCCTTGCGCTCTGCTCTTCTTGCTGCTGCTGCTGCTGCTGCTGCCCCTGCTGCACGCCTCCGACAGCTTGGACGCAACTGTCTCGACCCCACACCCACAAGGCGGCAACGCGCGCAGCGCCTAAGACGCACGACTGCCGCCCACCCACACACATGAGAACCTCATCTTCATCTTCTGTCCAACGCCTTTACCGCTCTCACCCCCACAAGCGACTGTCTATCGCATCCCTGGCGACTCAGCCAGCATGGCCGCCTTCGTGAGGGTTTCTGGTCCCCCCAACAGTAGCTTTCTCGTCGGCTACCCGGGCATCTCTGCAACCCTGGTATGTGTGCTTCCTCTGTGGTGTGATGACGTCGGGGAGGCTGGAGTCTTGCCTACGTACGCTTTGCGCAACCCTGCTGACATGCTTCTCTCACCCGTAATCCAGCCCCGAATCGAAGGCAAAGTCGAGATCCGCCCGTCACAGGGCTATTCCATGCCCGTCGCCGTTTCGCTGGTGCGCATTTGTCTGCAGCGACGAGAAACCATCCACCCCGCCGCCGAGAACGTCGCGAAACGACACCTGGGCACACCGAGAAGAGAGACCACCGACGTGGTCGGTAAAGAGCTTCTGCTGTTCCGATGCCAGTCCGGCAAGGAGGCCGAGAGCGTCATTGCCATGGATCTGCCTTTTGTCCTTTTTATCCCCTTTGGAAGAGGCGGCGAGGAGACGAACCGACGAATACCCCCCGCATCGCTTCAACTCCCCAGCCGGACCGCTGAGACGTACTACGAGCTTGTAGTCACCGTCCAGCAAGGCCACACCCTCCAGAACAAATACTCCTTCCCCATACCCTTGCAACGCTACGACACCTTGTCGACCTTCGGCATGTACAACAAACCCGAATCGCGCCAAGTCAGCGACGCGAGCGTCGTCACCCTGGGCATCTCGGTTCCCAAATGGAGTTATGGACCCCTCGACCCAATAACAGTCTACATCAAACTGGTACCGAACCCCGACTGGATGAAGAAGGCTTTGAAGGTCACCATTCAGAAGATCACCGTCACTATCGAGGAGGAGATTACCTACAACCCCGAAGGCGACGAGCCGACGAAAAAGGTCAACAAGGTCGCAAAGAACATACAGCTGGTGAACACAAGAATGCCAGAGGCAGGCTATGCCACCAATGTCGGCTTGGTCTTCCCCTCCAAGGACCTGCGCGACCCCGATGGCATCATCCGAAGAGGAAAGCCCGCGTTTCCCCTCTACCAAGTGACATCCTTCACCACGAGCTCAACATTATACAAGATTGAATTCTACCTGACGGTCAAGGTGAGCTGGCCCGATTGCCCCCTCTCATCCACCATGCCTTTTTCCTCTTTTTCTTCTCTTTTTTTTTTTTTTTTTTGCTCACGATATCTGCAGGCGCAACTAGGTTCTACCAAAGACTTGGTAGTTCGACAACCGCTCGTCATCTGCCCGCTGGACCAGCAGGCATGTAAAGAGGAAATGGACGCCATCGAACAAGCTGCCAAGGATGCCTCACAGGTCGACCCGAACAACCCCATGCTCCCTGCCCGCTCGATCGTCTTGGCGAATGACCGAGAGTCAATGAAGACGCTAGGCCTGTGTTTGGTAGGAGGGCAGAAAAAGCCGTTGATCGAATGAAGGCCTCCGAAATCGTGCGGAGTAATTATATGAACGGAATGGCGGGAATCTCGGCTCTGGGCTGCGGGGTATGAGACCGGCTGCATACGACGGCCGGCGATCTACCCTGGAACGGCGCGAGTCGAATCCGGCTGCTAACATCCCAGCGCCCAGTTCCAGCGTTGGACCTGCGAAGCTATAGCCACAACGAGCACAAACTAATGGGACGCTGACGTCAGCGTTGAACACGACAGCTAACGGAGCGAAGGGGGGGAAAGCGGGAAAAAGAGCGTCGGGAACGGAAAGCTCGGGTATCCTCTGTCTAGACCTGGAACAGGCGCATCGACGAAATCATACCCTTGGCGGGTGGTCTTTTTTACGGTTCACCCACGGACCTGCGCGTCGGCTCTTGTATCGCGTGCTTATTCGGCAGGCGGGACGGCGTCATCATCATCATCATCATCACGGCACGGCGTTGGCGGGGTCTTTGGCTAAAGGGGGTCTTTGGGGAGAACGACGATTTCAGGCTCTTGCGGCATTTTGGCAGAGCACGTTTGGACAAATACTATATTACGAGACGATGAAACTTGGGAAGATGGGGGCGGCGTGCGAGTTGCCCAGGGGTGGGAGGGGGGAAGAGGGGAAGAGAAGAAGCCTGTTTGTTCAATGCTGTACATACCACATTCGAATGAGGGATACAAGAGACGAGTAACTCGGGGGTGGGTGTCCTCACTCCCCAATGATACAGTCGACTGGGCCAGCCTTTCTACCGGTGAGTCGGGCCTCTCTCGTGTGGTGGGGGTTTGTTCGAACTCGTATGAGCGTCATTGAGGGGCTATCCACGAGTTGGCCCGAATGCAAACAGTGGAATGAATGGACTTCCCCCCCCTCTCATTTTATTTATATTTTCCATCATCTTCATTTCATTTGTCATCTTCATTGTGAGAAGCCAAGAACGGACCAAGGGACTGACTGTCGGGTGTTTGCGACCTTATGATATGCCGAGGTACAGGGGGCAGAATCCTGCAGAATCCTCTAATGATCCGAGGACTCTGATAAGCGACCATACCATCCGGTATTGTTTTTCGGTACCTAGTTACCGTGGAGGTGGAGCGTATGCGGCTCAGCCGGTACCGCCCGGCGCCGGATCCTTCCGACATGCACAGGTGCTTCCGCAACGACATCAGAAGCGAGCTCCCTCCCGGTGGCCGAGGCAGGTTTTATGATACCACCTCCTCCTGGCCCACTTAGACGTCAACCTCCATGGCCTCCCCGCCTTCCTTCTCCAGCGACTCGATGCGTCTGAGGATGCCTTCCTTCCATATCATGTACTCCTGGCGCTTCTTCTCACTCAGAAAGTCGTACCGATCTTGAAACATGCTGTCCGCCCCGCGCACAGGCGCCCTGTAGGGGCCCTCAGCCCGCCGGTGGCTGTCGGCAATCACGTCGCCCGCCTCGATAATGTCGCTGAGACTGAGATACCAGTCGGCCTCGAGCCACCCGCGATCCGTGACTTGCTGCACCGCGTCATCAAACTCCTTGGCCGTGACCGGCGCCCAACCCTCCCACGCCTCGTCCTCGTCCATTCCCCTCGAGCCCACCGATGCTCTCGCCTTGGCGAGGAGATCGAGGATGCGATCCCGTTCGGGCTTGTACGCCTCGCTGCCGACCTCCTCCCCCGTCTTGAGCGTCTTGACCTGCTGCGTGACGAAGAAGAATACAGCCCCGCATAGAGCGGCCAGGTTTGCCCTCACCCACGCGTCGCGCGTTCTCCGCCCGCCGGGAACGACAATGTACTCCATGCCGGCCAGCATCGTTGGCCCCAGCTGCCGCTGACCCGTCTCCTTGCAGAGGAAGCGGATGGTCGGCTGGATCCAGAAGTGGAGGCCGGACTTGTCGGAGGGATAGACGGCCTTGCCGGTCGACTTTGTCGGCGTGTTCGGCCCGCTTGCGGGGTTGCCGGAACGGAATTGCGCGAGGGACCGCTCCTTTGTGGGTGTTGGGCGTTGTGGCGTCCTGACGGGTGAGTCGATCCCGTGCCTTTGTCTGTGCCGCGGGGTGCCGTTCTTGCCTGGTGTGCGGTTCAGAGCGGCGTTGGGGAGGATGTTGTCGAGGTGGCTGTAGAGACGCTTGTAGATGCGGGGAGGGATTGGGGGCCGTGGCTCGATCGGGGGGAGGTCCAGTGTGATCTTGAGTCTTTTGGGCATCAGTATCAAGGTATTGAAGCACGGATCGCATTCCGGGGACCTACCTATCGCAGGCGATGTGTGCACAAGCGTATAACCGCCCAACTTCTTCGTCTGCTTTGAGTGTGCTCGCCCGGTGCCTCGACTGTGCCAGGAGGGACCCCGCAAGTTCTACCAAGGACGGCGGTAAAGTTGAGCCATGCGTGGGCATCAATGAGAGGAGCGTTTGCTCTATGGATCGGTTCATGGTGGGTGGTATGGGATTTGAAGCCCGGGCTGTGTTGGATGAAGAGCTTTCGCAAAACGCGACTGGGACGCGTTGCGTAGCGGGCGTTTCTTTCTTAGGTCCCCGGAGGTCGGCAGATGATGACAGTTGTTCGGACGGACTCCTCCAGATTGTTCCACTGTCCTGCGGCTGCTTGAGAGATCGATCGATGTAGGAATGAATAGGTCTCTATGCGAGAAAAAAAGAGCTGAGGAGTAAGGTGGTGTTGAAGATGGGTTTGTTGCGTCACCCAAGGCACCACGGCCACCCAAGCTTAATTGGCACGCGACGGACCCTGGGCCAGAACTGATTAGGCCCCTGTCAGTCGCCGATCCATGCATCTGCCGTCCCCCCAAACTCCCCTTAATCGGCCATTTTGGACGCCACCTGTTCCAACCAAGCAAACTTCCATGTTCCCCATTCCCCATTCCTCCCCCATTCCTTAGCCCGTTGCTTGTGCTCTCTCTCTCCTCTTCGTTCTCGGCCCAGCTTTTTTGTGTTTGCCAAGTTCGTGGATCTACCCGAACCCGGCTTTCTGTTTTACCTCATCCGTGGCTAAGCCCTATTGTGTATCTTTACCCGCGCGTGTCCCGCTTTTTGTTTTGTTTTAACATCCGTGCTACGTGTCGTCAACAAACCGAAGCTCCATCACGACTTGATATAGCTACATCGTGGGCGATCCGACCATGCACACCATCCACCTCGCAACCCTGGTGCTCGCCAGCCGCGCCTTCGCCCACGGCGGCGACCACAGCCAGAAGCCCATGGTGGACGAGAACGCCGACTGGATGACCAAGCACATGGCTGGTATGTTACCGACCAAGCTCCCCCAAGGGTCCTCCGCCCTCCAATCGTCGACCCGCGCGCTGACATGTTACGTTTCCGCCAGAGGAGCACCATATGGAGGGCTGGGATGCTGCATCCTTCTTCACCCTGCACGATTACAACAGCGACGGCCTCTGGCAGGGCGACGAAATCCTGCGCACATACGGCCTCTTTGACGAGTCGAACCGCCACATCTCGGAGGAGAAGCGCTTCGAAATCCTCCATGACATCATGAAACTGTTGGACGCCAACCAGGACGGCACCGTCACCCGCTCCGAGTGGGACGACTTCATCCACAGCGGCAAGACGCTGCCGGATATGGGCGTCGGCCCGGGTCACCACGGCGACGACGAGTACGAGTACGAGATTCACCATTGGGAGAAGTGAGTGCCTCGTCCATCCCCGGTAGAGTAGAGGGAGAAGCTGACGGGAGTGACACCAGGTACCACGACGAGAACACCAAGCTCGAAGATCTGACGCACCCCGAGGACATTGAGCACTTCAAGAAGCACGAGGAGATGGAGGACGAGCAGGAGAGGTTAGAGCAACTCGACCAGATGGCCGTTGTCGAGGGCAACATCCCGCAAAAGTTTCGGCGGTCATAGCGCTCGATCCGCTCAACCCCCCCCCACAAGGAAGGATGAGGTAGCAGGCGGTACAGGCCGACAACGTTGACGGGAACGAGAGATGAGCGATTCACACGACGGTTATGTAACCTTATTAGATATTGTAATATGTACATCAAAGACGCAATGCCAGACGTCGGGCGCGTACGTCTTGACTAATTCGACATGCTCGACCATGGCGGCTCGGCCGCTCTCCGTCGCTGCCGCCCAGCCGTCGTACAGGCTTTGAATGTTTGCGCGTCTCGGTTCGATGTCATGAATGCCGACATTTTCGTGGAGATGCAGCCAGCAGCCTTCAGGGGATGTGGCTGTCATGTCCCACGCCGGCCGCCACGTGGGCTCGCTGGTCGGGAGCAGCCCGCCATTGACGTGTAGGATATCGACCGGAGTACCCGAGGCCCGGATGTCTGCTATCCTGTCTGCAGCTTTCTGGTTGTCTTGGAGGAAAACGACGATCTGCTCGTCGCCCGTGAGGAGTTGGGCGGCGGGTAGCTCGAGGTCGGCACCCTGGACAACCCTGACCCGCCAACCGTTGGCGACGGCACCGCGGCGCAGGGCCTCGACGCTCCACGGGTTCAGCTCCCAGCAGAGGACCCTCAGGCCGAGCTTGGCGTACGAGAAGGTGAAGTAGCCGATGCCCGCGTACAAATCCACCGCCCAATGCTTCTTGAGCGAAGACGCGGTGCGACGGCGATGAGACATGGCCTCGGGGACTGCGTGGCTGTGAAACTCGAGGAGGCGCGTCTTTTCCTTGATGTTTCCCCGGCTGAACATGGTCCAGCGCGGGGCCCATGTCTGATAGATGCCGTTCTGTTTGGTTGACACCCAAAAGGCCGTCTCAAAGTCCTCAGACGAGGGCTTGGCTGGATTGATGGGAGGGCCAAAGTCGCCGTGCAGGATCTTGAGGCCGCTGGGGGTCCGGAGGATGTTCTCGCCCTTTTCGACGGCGATCCCGTCGTCCGTCTTCGCGCCCGTCTGGAGGGGGATTCCTTCATTGATGGCGAGGTGAGTGAGCATGCTCGAGCCCGTGTTTGAGACGTCCCGCAGGATGGCATCCCATAGCTGGTGAATCTTGTCGTCAGTGATGTCGGGGTGGCCAAGGAGAGTGCGCCAAAGGCCCTTATCGAAGCTCCCGCTGGGGAGGAGAAGCATAGGCTCGTAAATGGCGAACCGTTTCGGTGTTTGTTGGTTAAGAAGAGTGTCCAGTTCATCAGAGGTTCGCCATGGCTGGGCTTGCGGGGGGAGTGAGAGAAGCCAAGCTCGGGTTGCTGCCGATATTGGGTTTTCGGGCTTCGGCTTCTTGCCCCTCGGCTTGCCATTGGGGGCTGCCATCGTTCGCTTACTTGTAGGTCAGGTAGACTTGAGAAAATGTCACCAGGACCCCCTCGAGCTCAAACGTCGTCTTTGGCAACGTGCAGAGTGCAGCTCACGAACTCAACCAAAAAATCCTACTCTTGCAACTCTTTGGTGATTTCAGACGACGTTACAGGGGCTACAACGGCTTAGACCCCTGTTGGGCACCCTGAGGTCCGCTAGCGACAAGTGGGTCAGGCGTCGCCAACGAAGCAAAGACACCTCCATTGTCCGGCTTCTGCTCTTTCACCGTTGTTCCCTTCATTCTTGGATCTGACCACGCTCCGTCAAGTTGGGAGAAACATCATGGAATCTTCAACTCTGCCGGCGCATCTGAACTACCTCAACGATGCGGCTCACCTCCTCAGGACATCTGCCCCCGAGACTTCGGCCTACCTCATGAACCACCACAACGAGCTAATGTTTCTCAACGACATTGAACAAAACGACGTTCGACGGCAGCACGTCTGCGGTGCTTGCGGCCACATCATGATCCCCGGCCAGGGCACTGCACTCAAGCTCGAGACCGAGAAGGCGCTGAAGAGGAAGCGACGCGGTGTCCAGTCGCGAGATCCCAAAGCCAAGGATGAGCCTCGGCCTCGTGTTGGGACGCGAAAGCTTTTCAATTGCGGAAACTGCAGCCGAATCACCAAGGTCTCATTCCCCCCTCCGCCGCCGATCCTAAGACGCCGGGAAAGGCGTGAGCAGCTCTCTGCGGCCAAGGGTCGCCAGTCTTCGATGGCCGAGCCAGCTAAGCCGGCAACATCCAATTCTAGCAGCAAGAAGCGGGCGAAGAACCGCAAGGCCGGGCTGCAGGCTCTGCTGAATCAAGCCAAGACGTCGTCCTCAGGGACCAGAAACTTGAGCCTTGCAGATTTTGGACGAATGGGGTGAGGAGTAATGAAGAAACAGAAGAGAGAAAAAAGAAAGAAAAAAGAATCGCACTTGCCAATATCCCAATCCTGGGGAAACACGGCTTCCAATTCCTAGAGCCCGCTCCGCGGTTCCGTGCCATGACAAACCGGCCGGCCGGCGGGCTATTCTCGGGAATATTCTCGAAGGCTGCCTGCCTTGGGAAGGGACCCGGGACCCGCTCAATGACACACATTGATGCCCATCCTGCAGGGCCTGCAGCTGCGATTGCCCCTCCAAAAATTTCAAGACCCCGCCATCGCCATCCCACCGAGTCACTTGCTCTCCCCCCCCCACGACCGACAACAAAACAACGCCGCGCAACTTCAACAGAAGAACTACCGGCCCTCGGAACATTGCGCGTATACCTACCTACTTTTCAGAAATCAGTCAAGATGGCTGTCCCTGAGTCCAAGACGACGCCGAACGAGTTCTTCCAGGCCATCGGCTCCAAGGTCGACGGCAGCGATGACCAAAAGGTTGTCGAGGAGATTGAGTCTCTCTGCATGAACTGCGGCAAGAATGTGAGTTGCACAAGAGCCTTGAACCAATTGTTGTATGCTAAATCTGCGTCCAGGGCATCACAAGGCTGCTTCTGACGTCGATCCCCTACTTCCGCGAAATCATCATCATGTCTTTTGCCTGCGAAGAGTGCGGCTTCGCCAACAGCGAGGTCCAGCCCGCAGGCTCCATCCAGCCCAAGGGCACATACTACGAGCTTCGCTTGACCGCCATGGAAGACTTCTCCCGCCAGGTTGTCAAGTCCGACACTGCCACCGTCAAGTTCACCGAGCTTGACCTCGAGGTGCCCGCCGGCAAGGGCCAGCTTACAAATGTTGAGGGTCTGTTGACCACCGTCATCAATGATCTCGAGTTCGGACAGGAGGCACGTAAGGAGCAGATGCCCGAAATCTACCCCAAGATTGCCGAGATCATTGAAAAGGGCCGCGCCATGCTCGAGGGCAAGTCGTTCCCCTTCCGCGTCACCGTCGACGACCCGGCCGGTAACTCCTTCATCACCCCCGACTTGAAGGATGGTGTTGGCAAGTGGGAGAAGCATGAGTTCATCCGTACCGCTGAGCAGAACGCGGCCTTGGGTATCTCCAACGAACAGGCCGCTGAGCTTGCTGCTGGCGCCAACCCCGGCCTCACCGCCGAGGGCGACATCATCCCCAACGAGGTCTACAGCTTCCCCGCCAGCTGCCCGGGCTGCATGCGCCCCTGCACCACCCACATGAAGATGGTCGACATACCGCACTTCAAGCAGGTCGTCCTCATGTCTACCGTCTGCGACGAATGCGGCTACCGCTCCAACGACGTCAAGACCGGTGGCGAGATCCCCGAGAAGGGTGAGAAGATCATCGTCAAGGTCAACGGCCAGACCGACCTTGCCCGCGATATCCTCAAGTCCGAAACCTGCGCTCTGGAATGCCCCGAGCTCAACCTGGCCGTCAACCCCGGCACCCTGGGCGGCCGCTTCACAACCATCGAGGGTCTCCTGACCCAGGTCCGCGATGACCTTCGCAGCCAGATCTTCGAGGCCGACGGTGGCTCCGGCGGCTCCGGCGGTGGTGACTCCCTCGCTCCCGAGGAGAAGTCCAAGTGGACTGCCTTCTTCGACGGCCTCGATGAGGCCATCAACGGCAACCGCGAATTCACCATCGTCCTCAACGACCCCCTCGCCAGCAGTTTCGTACAGCCTCTGGTCGACCCGCCCGCCCCTGACCCGTCAATCACCCGCGAGTACTACACCCGCACTCACGAGGAGGAAGAGGAGCTTGGTCTGCTGGACATGAAGACCGAAGGCTACGAGGAGGACGCTGCCAAAGAGGCCGCCGAGAGAGATCAGGCGAAGAAGCTCGCAGAGCTCGACAAGCTCCTCGACGCCAACATGGGCAACACCTCATAGGGAAAGCGGGATCCGGGTATGTGATGCGGCGAGACTTTTTATGACGCGTTTGGATTTTAGGTGACGACTGAATAGGCGGACAGGCGGGCGGGCGGAATGACAAAATTCGTACATGATGATGATACCTACGTATAGATGGGTTATTTGAAGATTTTGAGGGCTTTCCAATAAAAGAAAAGAAACGTTTTCCAGCACGTTCTGATGCATGCTTCTCGACCACTTTGCCATTCCAGTTCGTGGTCGCGCGGAGTAAGACCGTCGGCGACCATGGGCGACCCTATGTGTATATATATATACATATATATAAGAAAAACAAAGCGCTTGTCTCTTCATTAAAGAACCTGTATAGGCTAGCCTCACGCCACACAATCACCATACCCACTTCACCCTAACTATCATAATGATTCGCAAGCCTCATCGCTACCTATGCGCTTTGTTCTATCCCAAGGACAAGGTTGTGGTCGACGACAAAATACATGGGCTTCGCTGACGACTTGGGGATCCATCTCGTCCATGGCAGCCGTCCGACGGGTGGTTATACGTCGCCGGCAATGCATTATTCCATGACTAACAATGAAGCTCTTCATACCTACACTCGTCTTGCGGCCCATTCCAACACTTCGTCTTGTCATTCGTCATTCTCGCCCATGTATGAGTAGCGTTCCAGCTCTCCGCCTTGCGACTGCTATTGACTACCTAGGACAGACTGACTCCCTCTGATTCGAGGTGGAAAAGGAGCCCGCGACATGTCAACACTGGAAGGGAGTGTTGAATAAAAGGAACGAGCATTGCCAAAAGGCCTGACAAGTCGCAGGACTCTGCGAGGAGGCCGCTCATGGCCCATTTTGCAGCGACCTCATAAGGAACGTCGAGATGACCCGCATCGCCTGTACGCCATGAAGGCGGTGCCAGCTCGACAAAGCGGCGAAGATGGGGAGGGGAACACCAGTAGATAAGGATCGGCCTGCGCTTCCTCAGTGGTGCCTGACTTGGTCCAAGTAACCTCCTTGCCCGTTTCCCTGCCGCCTGTCTCTCCGGACTCTGCGACTGCGACTGACCCAGCCGCCAGGTCGGTCCGTTTGGAGGAATAAGGGGGTTGCCGACTTGCGGGGGTCATTCAGGCGCACTGCGTGGCTTCTAAACCTGCGAGGCGATGGAGGAAGATTGCAGTCTGAGAGAAGGCATAGGGCGAGGCAGATCTCGAGCGTGCAAGCAGAGTCCACGTGGGCATTGCCAGTGAGTAGTCGGACGTTAAGGTCATGTATGTCTGGCACCGTCTCGATGGGGACACCAAGAGCAGTGGCCACAGTCACAAGGTCTCTGCCATGTCTGGGACCGTTTCCTTCGGTTGAAAATCGAACCGGCAGCTCGTCGGCGAGCTGAAGGTCCCAGAGAAGAAGGTGGTCCTGTTGTTGGAATGTGTCGACGCCCGAAAGCGGCACAGGGGCGCTCCGCTCATTTCGAATCGCATGTTAGGACAATCATCTTGCGAAGAGTTCTAGACCTGGCCTCGCTAGGTGTTCGGTTGTCCACTCTGGCGGTATCTTATCGCGTCTGGATGAATTGACCGAGATCCATCACCGACAACAGAACCTCTCATAACCATCAACTCGTACTATTCGCTCACCTCTCCCTTCTATCTCCATAACCCCTTTACGAAATTCATTCTCTGCTTTCCTCTTAGATTCCTTCCTCGTTCAGCGCTAGTCTGCCAGGATACGATTTCCTATCATGCGACCCTGGCCGGGGAACGGCAACGTCAACTGACAGATTCGCTCAACATGGCTGATCACAGGAACGACCTGTTCGAGAACGACTACGGACGCCAGTTCCGGGTACGAGAATATGCCATCATAGCGGGATTGATCATTCATCGGTCGGCAGGAGGTCTCTCGAAACAGACGCTTGTGGAACTGGCCAACGACGTAGACAGAGAGTTGAAGGACTACGCCACCAGAAACCACAGCACCTCGACTATATATAACCACGTTCGACGAACCCTCCTTTCCCACCCAGATTCAGAACTCTCATCTATCATCGCTATCCGAGCACACGTTTCGGTTGACAACTCCAAGAAAATCGCACCTGCTCTCGTACAGAAATTCAAGTCTGAGAACCCCGCTAGGATTATTCCAGTTGAGATTTCCTCTGTATCCCAGAGACGTGTTTAAGCCTCATGTTCTCTCCCTGTACTACGCTATGTGTTGAAAGCTGGCCGGAAATGCCTCACGGCCCCAGCTAGATATGCCATTCCCGCTTCCCCGGTACGCTGTACCATGCAAAGTAATCTGTTCATTTCCTCCCTGCTGTAGAACAGCAGACATTTCTTTTCTATGATGAGTCATTGGTCTCCGAACCCTCCGAGCTCTCGCTCTCGCCACTGGCCTCGGTGGTCGTAAGTCCCTTTCTGATGGCGAGGACGTTGTCTACGATGACCGCATCGATGCCCTCCTTCACTTGGCGCTACGGAAAATGATGAGTACTGGTCACCATCGATCAGGAGAGGATAAGAGCACTTACTTGAACCATGATGGGGTTGTTGTTCAACGTTCCGTAACTGACACAAAGGAGACCACTCTCCTTGACAACTCTGACCAGCCGGGGACTGTTGATGAGCGGCTCGGCGGCGCTGACAATTCCAATCAAGTTCCAGCGACTGGCGAATCGGATGGCCTCCTGCAGGGAGGAAGCTCTGATGTCGCCGACAGGGCAGGTGCCTGCATCGGTCAAGAACATGATGGGGATCGACGGCTGCTTGAAGCTCAAGCAAAGACAGATGTCAGGGTTGAAGGAGCTAAAGATGATGTGTCTGTTGCCGGCCAGGTCGTAGACCTTGGACAATACCGTGTCGCAGAACGAGTTCAGCTCGACGGCGTACGTGTCCATCTCCTGCTCCTCACTCTCATGAAGCATAGGGTACTTCATCTCAATGTTGAAGCCAATGTGCTCGGGGAGTTGCCGAAAAAGGTCCTCCAAGGTGGCGAATGGTGCCTGGATGAAATTTCCACGCGAGTTGGCCTTGTAACCCTTGTTCTTGAAGTCACGCGTGTGCTTCATGCGCTCCTCGAGACTGCCTCCGTTGACGCCGTCGCCAGCGTATCCCATGGACAAAGACCGCTGCCTGAGGCCCGGCGCATTGTTGCGAACCTTCTCAATTCTCTCGTTGACTGCATTAACACCATTTGTGCGGTTGGAGTCGGGGTTGATGTGCAAGAATTGCTCCAGGGTCAGAGTGTGGACTGGTGCATCGATGCCAGTCTCGCTGACAAGGAAATCATGGTAAATAACGGGAACATGGTCCTTGGTAAGCTGAACGTCGAATTCGACGTACTGAGCGCCCAGGTTGGCTGCTGCGATGAACGAAGGTACCGTGTTCTCTCCAAGCTGGAGAGATTTGTTGCTCGTCATGTTCTTACCCATGCCGCGGTGACCAATGACCATCGTTGTGGCAAGCTTCTTCCAGTAAGTCTGCTGCGAATTGATCTCCATGTTGGGATGCGAGAAGGGCGTGACGACCAAAAAGTTGAAGTTGACAGTGCCGATGACGTCCAGGTTGTTCGCCAAAATCGGCACACAGACATCGCCCTGAAGGTTCATGCGCTTCGTGCCCAGGGTGGGTTTGATGGAAGAGAGGAGGGCCACGCCACGTCCGATCTTGTTCTTCTCATTTCCAGAGTATGTAGGGACAATGTCGAACATCAGCTTAACCTGGGCGGGATCCACCGCCGTGAACACGATGGGCTCCGTCGAGACAGTCTCGTGGACAGGCAGGTCAACAATGACGGGCTCACCCTGGGCTCCGCTGGCCGAGACAACAATAGACAAGGCGGTATCGAGCTCGGTCAAATGAGCTTCGGTCAAGGGCACGCGGTCGAGCTTGACGGCCTCGAGGTTCTTGCGCATATCCATAGATCCGAGGCTGACGAGAACCATGCTCTTATCGGTCAGATAGCGATGGCCGAAGGTCTTGACCGGCTCAACCGGACGGACATAACCGTCCGACTTGCGGCCGTCAATCGACGAAATGTTCTCTGGCGACGAGGAGCGGGGAGAATTCTCGTTTATAGAGATCTTGAGGCTGCTCGTGGGCTGTATGATTTCGGCTTCCGCTTGGTTTGCCAGGAGCCTGGCGATGTCCAGATGGCCACGCAGCGCAGCGTGTTCTTTGGCTGTCCAGCCGGACGAGTCAGCTTTGGCGACGACTGCGCCAGAGTCAACAAGCAACTGGACCACTGCGAGGTGACCGTCCACAGCAGCAACGTGCAGTGGCGTCCAGGCGTACGTGTTCTCCGCAATCTCGAGGTCGGCCTTTTGCTCATCGGTACCCTTGATCAATGACTTGGCAATCCCATCGTGGCCGAAACGCGCGGCAAGATGCAGGGCGGTTTCGCCCGTCTTGTCCTGCCAGTTGATGTCGACGCCAGCTTCGACGAGCATCTCTACGATGACCTGGTAGTTGCACTTGGTGGCTATGGCAAGGACAGCACCGGACTTGGATACTGTTCGTCTCATTTCGGCCTTCTTGACACTGACGCCCTGCCAGTTCTCTCCCTGGAGAAGGGCCTTGGTCGTCCGAGGATGCCCGCCCACGACGCTCAAATGCAGAGGGGCGTACCCGTCGTTGTCCTGCCATTCGGGGGCGTCGATGCCGTTCTCGACGTTGAACTGGTTCCACTCTTGCATCTTGGCCATGATAATCTGGCAGACAACCACAAAACCGAACCGGGCAGCATAATGGAGAGGCATCCGTCCAAACGAGTCCCTCGCGCTGAGTGCTTCTCTGTGCTCAGGCTTCAGGGTGTCGAGAAGATGGATGAGAGTTTGAACTGCCTCGTCGTCTTTGCCGAGCAGTTTCGTCTCATTTTGGTTGAGCGCCCGAGGGGGGATCGTTTGCGAGACTGCCGGCTGAAGGTCGTGGGTGGTGAACTGAGTGCCGATCGGGAAGGGGTAAGACTTGGGCTCATTGTCAGGTTCAGAAGACTTGGTGCGGCCGATATGGATGACGAGCCTATGGATACAGTTTCGATGGTTGATGTCATCGGGCTCATTGATAGACGGCAGCTGCTCGATAAGATAGGCCATACTCGCCCTGGACCTCGCAGCAATGGAGCGCTGCAGCAGGTTCAACAGCAAGGTCTGAGATGCCTGCTCAGATGCCACGTTGCCCTCCTTCAAGCCATTCTTTAGCGACTCGACGTCGTCGTTGCGAATGGCTTGCTCGAGGGTGTCGAGTTGGCTCTGCGACAGGGTCAACATGGCCTTGGAAGAAGCGCGGCCGAGCGACCGCACCGAGCGATCGGATTTGGAGTCGTCGACGACGCGGGCTTCGCCCAGGGCGGAGATCCATTTGTTGACCTCGGCGAGGAGGCGGGTGCCTGTGGAATCCTTGGCAAAGGGCAGCGGGTCGACTTTGGTGGAGATGTAGCGGTGCTGGGAGCCGGTCGCGGGAAGCTTCTTGTCGAGCTTCTTTGTGATCTTGACGAAGCCTCTGCGGTTGATTTCAGCGAACCAGTTAAGGTTCCTCAGCATGATGCGCATCTCGTAGAGAGCGCCCATGAGCTCCTCGGTCTCATCCTCATCAAGATCGGAGACGAGGTCGTGGACGCGGCCATAGCGGTCGTGTAAGAGATTGAGACGGCGGACGGCCTCGCCAAGCTTGCGGTTGTAGAATCTGTCAACGTCTTCGAGGTTGCGGTCCAGAGCAAAGAAGAATTCTGCAAGATGCGGTCAGGGGATGGGCTACGCCCTCACGGTCCGGTTCAAGTCCGCCCACCTGCAAGATCCACCTTCTCTCCATCCTTGGCCGATTGCGCCGCGGCCTTGATCAGCTTCTTCAGGCCTTTGTAATTGATGTAGAAAGCCGCCCATTCGGGGACTTGGTTGCGGGGGAGACTAGGGTTTGTGTCAGCGTTCTCCTCGAGAGGTTGCGAAAGAGGCCCCAATACGATGGAGTAATTGGGGTGATTTCCGGGGGAAAGGAGGGCGCACTTTCTGCCAAACTTCATGATGAAAGACGTCTAATTCCGGGTATCAAGGGTTGTTTGTGATGCTGTGGCGTTCGGGCTTGGCGATAAGGTCTAGACGATAAGACTGAAGAGTGCTGTAACGACAAATACAGTTGCTGACGACAATAACGGGACAAAAAGGGACGAGATGACAGCTGCTTAGAGGCAGATGAGATCGAAAGCGCGGTCGATCATTTTCTTCGTCTATGATATTGTAGAGGGGTTTGTCTTTGGCGATGAGTTGTGTAGTGCAGTAGTAAGTAGGAACGAGGCGCGGGTGCAAGAGGTCAAGATCAGTAGCAAACTCAGCAGCTCCGGGATCCAGGAAGTCGTCAGTCAGCTTTGTCTCTGTTGCGTCAAAGGGGTCCAGAACCAGGGACGGTGTCCAGTAACGAGAATGCCGTCGATTTTTCCAGGATGAAGGAGATCCACATCCAGATGTCCATTGACCGGAGGGGGTGGGGGGTTAGGAATACAGTGTCTGCCGAGTACGGGATAGACCAACAAACAAACAATCGGATACTTTTCTTTCTTCTTCTTGTCTATTGCCCCGAGTACCTAGAGGGTGAAGGGGAAAAAATATAGAGACAAAATGGAAAGAAGATCTGAGGACCTGGACACAGTTATCGGCGGGTTGGAGGGGGATTATGAATGAAGACGGAAATCAGACCGACGGCAACAAGTTCCCCAGCGGCGGGATTGACAAGGTGACGGAAACAAGCAACAGACAGAGACTACCTAACTTATGTGTAGGTACCGTGGTACTTGGTATGTAGGTAGTGAAAGAGAGAGAGAGGAAAGACGAGGTGTGAGCTCATCCCGCATCCACCGCGTCGCAGGGTATCGAGGGCCCTGGCACCAAGTCTCTGTGTTTCGGTAGGTATGTACCCCGCACGCGAATTGTCGCGGGGAAGGAACAACCGAGCACCTGGTGGGCGACTCGAGACGGGGCCGGGGGATACCTGAGACCACCACTTTCGCACGCCAGCGCCAGTCCCTTCAGAACGTGACGGCAGGAAGGGCCGTGAAAGAGAAAGACTGCGAGATCCCAGAAACAGCTCGAGGCGTGGCGCTATCCGGCAGGTGAAGCTGACCAGTCGAGAGCCGCCATCAGTCTCCCGTGGGGCAAATCTCTCTCGTGATTCGTCGATTCGGCGCATCGCGGACCCACCAGGGCATCAACACCGTGTAGTGTAGACGGCCTACCCATGCCCACCCCGCCGTTGGTGTAGCACAGACACATAGCAGGTACCTCATCCAGCCCTTTTGCATCTTTCCTACCTACTACCTAGGTACTTGGAGGGGGTGCCGCTCTTTCTTGTTTCCCTTTTCACGAGCGAAGTTTACATACAATTAATTGCTGGCTTGTCGATTCTCCAAGTACCAGCTAGCTAATGGCAACAAGAGTGTCCGTCCTCCTACTAGCCTGCTACGTCGCCGGTTGTGTGTGGTCACGATTACCACACAGTACATCTAGGTAGGCAGTGGCGGTCTCCGCCGGCTCTTGCCTCGTCACTCTCGGCCTCTCCCTTTTTTTTTTTTTTTCTCCCACCGACTTTGCACCCTCGTGGCATCCTCTCTTCGCCTGGAACGCCGGGGCTGAGGCCTGGACATATCTCACGCTCCGACATATTGGGTCAGATGGGTGCGCCTAAGTTGCAGACCGCCTCGCCGCTTGTCAGGTAGTCTGTTCTCGTGACTACCCAAGCGGGAGGGACCCTGAAGACCAGGCATTTGGCTTCGGTTCCGTCGATGCCCCTTTTGCTGCCAAGAGCTGCTTGACTGTTGGAATGCCGCTTCCATAACGGTGCATACCCAGGTACCATCCCCATGTTCTCCCCAGTCTCGTCAATTTCATGTACGAGTTCGGGTTGGTCGCGAGCCCAGGGATGAAGGACCTACCTAGAATATATTGGACTACATACTCACTATACACAGCAAACTACGTTGCTAAGACCCACCCAGGTCCGGTTCCGCCATGTGCCTTTCAAGTTTTGGATTTTTTTCAGGGTCTTGTCAGCTGACCGGTCCCTAAACCTCGATATCCCGGTTACGGTGCGCTTAGATGCGATGCAGATTGAAAATGGGGAAACCTGACAGGACGACTTCGGCTTCTACGGAGGCCCCTTTCGCCTCTTGCTTATCTTACCCGCTGGCTCGACCATGACTCTACAGGTGACGAAGGGTAGCCGGTCGGCGTAGTGGGCCTTGAAAACATGCATGGAACACAAGTGACGATGTATGTCAGGGTCCAATGGACCCACGCTGATGGTACGGTTGCCGTACTTGTACCCCCGTACACCACATAGGTATAGGTACTATGAACAGTCATAAGTATCCGTAGGCAAGTCAAACTTTGCCATCCTGTTCCAACTCTACGGAGTAGTACAATGTACTAGGTATGGAGGGAGGAAACCAGTTTCTACACGATACAAGAGTCAGCCCCCCCCTCTTGCCAACTGGTCGTTCCTTGACCACCGAACGGAGCCTCTCCACCCCCATCACTTTTTTAGCCTCTGAAGTTCCTGAATCTTTCAAAGCGTGCGGCTCATGGGCAGCGACTTCAGTTCAGGGCAGGGCAGGCCAGCCCTTCCGGTCTCCGATTTTTCTCCTCCGCGGCAAAGAGTATCCACATGGGTATTTGGCCGTACCTACGGAGTACAGTACTATGTAGATGTAGTGTAGGTTCGGTATCCGTCCCCCATCTTGATTATGCTCCCGCTTGATACCGTGGTAAGTAACCCCGTGCCCCCCCAAACGCTGATCCGTCTGCCGGCCGGTGGCTTCCCCGTTCGAGTCCCAGCGCCCAAACCATGCAAAGCGTACTATGTACTTTTAGGTTTGCTCATTGCCTTTTTGGCTTTTCCTCAGCTGTCAACTCAAGTCAGGCCTAGCACCTTTGACACACGCAAAAAATACAAAAGAAAAAAAAAATGATATCGTACCCAGCTACGGTACCCGTACCCCCCCCCCCCCCCCTCTTTCGCCCCCCTTCCAACGAAGCCAATCCCTGACATCGGCGCGCTTGGAACCGCAACTTCCTTGTGCACTTTTCCCACAAAACCTGCAACTGTAATGGTTGGATGGTGTTTCCTTGGCAATCGCTGACCCCCCCCCCTCCCCCCAAAAGTCGACGCACAGCAGCGATCACTGCCGCTGCTGTTTGAGCCAAGACTCAATCGCCCGAACCGTCAAGTTTGGATGCCCATATGTACCATTGACTATCGCTCAGTTCTCTCTTTTTTTGCTGTCCTGTATTCCTCTTCCCCCCCCATCTCCCCAGCCAGTGCCCAACCAGCGTCCGAGGGGCCGGTCATCGCTGTAAATTGAATGCAACCCTGCAGATCGAAGCCTCGGTCTAGGCCGCCCCGGCTGCCTTCACCACCGCCAACGACCCCGGCGTCTCTGTCCATCCCTTGGCGCATTCCGCCCATGTCAGCGTCGTCTCCTCGAGCGAGCCCATCGTGAACATGTCTGGCAGCTCGGGCAGCAGCGTCCGCGGGTTGAACATTCCCGGCCACATGTGGCTGTTTGACTCCTTCACGTTCCTGACCATTGTCGTGATTTGCTCCTTTAGCGCCTCCAATAGCCGGCCTGTCGCCGCCGCCGTGTTTGTCTTCTCAATCAGGTCGCGCCGCGCGCCGACGACATCCGTCCGCACCACGTGCCACTTGATGCTGTCCGTCACCTCCTGCGGGAGGACGTCCTTGAAGGCGCGGTCGACGTTGCGAAGGTCGCGCAGGTCGAGGTACAGCCGCACTTTCAGAAGCGTCACGGCCATCTTGTGGCTGAGCGAGCCGAAGCGCTTCGCGAACTTGCTCACCCCTTCGAACGCGTCTTCGCCCTTGAGGTTCATGTGCGGGAGCTCCATGCTGCCCCAGTCGTAGTGGCTGTTCTCGGCTGTCACGGCCCACCACTTTACAAAGTCATACGCCTCCTGGTCACGCCTGAGACGGATCATCAGGTGCGGCGGGTAGCTCCGGATGCCCATGTTGTCGCCGCGGCACAGCCGCAGCATGTCCAGTTGGTGGTTCAACGCCATCTCGATGCCGTCAACCGTGTTTATCGACATGAGCGTTCCGATATATCCGAAGCGTGCCTGCATGTAGGGCCGCGTCTCCTGGATCCCCCAGAACCTGCCGACTGCCATGTCCCAGGTCCAGCCCCTTTCGGACTCGGCGCCGTTGCGGAGGGCGTTCTCCTCTTGAAGGTATCTCTCGCGATACTCCTTGATCTGGTTACAGTCGGACTTGTGCGCTTTCCGATGCCTGACTTGGTGGTCGCGGCCACAGTAGTAGACGACCTGGCAACCCGCACAGCGGGAGAGCTTGGTCCTGCTGTGGCACACGGCACACTGGCGGGGTGGCATACCCTCACAAGGCTGAAGGGCCATCGTGTTGCTGCTTGCGCTTTTCCCAATGGCCGGCGGACTTAGACGTGGCGTCGAGCAGGTCTTCAGAGAGAAAGATGGGATATGTGATCCAAGACAACACTAGGTGGTCCTCGCTGAATGAGGAAGCTTCCTGGTGCACGGTGAACCTCGCGTGTAGTGATGGCTTTTGCTGATTGGCTTTTGATGCAACGGGAAGAAAGTAAAAAGGTCCCGCCCATTACGACCCACCTCCTCTTTATATCATCGATACACGCGGATGCTACCAACTGGAACATTGAAGGGCAAAAATTGCTAATATCCGGATACTCGCTAAAATGGCCCGAATGGTAAAAGAGCCTTCTACTTTGTGCAAATGCGATACCAACGGTGGTCTGCGAAGCTTCATAAGTAGTTCGTCTTCTATAATCTAGGTAAAGTACAAGCCCCTTGACGGCTGGCTTCGTTTGCCTTAGTAGTCTCGTCTTGACTGCATAGGGCCCCTCGCTCCCAACCTTGCAGATGGTATACTACATATATACATTCCCCTGCAGCTCAGAAAGCCGCACTCGCCGCAGCCTCCACAGCTCTATGAGTCGAGATCCTTCCCGCCATCTTAAGACGAGCCCAGGGGTCGGCGTTGCCCCCTGTTCGTGGGGGATTCGTTTTGCGAGGGCTAACTGCCCTCAGGACCATCTTTTGCGCCCCTTCGCTCGTGCTTAGATCCTCAACCCCCTTGTCGTCGACAACGTCGACAACATCGGCTGCGGTCTCCTTGGTTTTGGGCAAATGTTTCCGATATCCAGTCTGCTCAATAAATGTCCTTCGTGCTTCCGTGCCCAACTGGGGATCGACCAAACACTGTCGTATGGAGCTCAACTTTGTCTCAAAATACTCCAGCTTAACACTCGACTGCTCAACCAGCCTGACCATGCGGGCAATATCGATGCCTCGTCTTTGTCTTCTGGATGGCAAACTCAAAGCAGGCACATCTCGTAAGAACGGAGCCACGGCAGCCGGCGAGGATCCCGTGATACCGCAAATGTCCAACAAGTTTTGAATACGTTGCGCAAGATACGTCTGATCGCATTCTCGAGAGAAGACCGCCTCGACAAGCTTGGGTTTCGTAGCCAACGCTCCCAGGACGCCTAACGCAGCCTTGGGATCCAGCGCGCGAACACATTGGTCTAGGAGTTGTGACATTGTCCGTAGGCTGAATGTGAATCCCATTTTGAGACCAAATGCTACAGTAGCCACAGCATTCCTTAGGTAGCGAAAGCTCAGCATGCCTTCAACGATGGCAGCAAAAACCTGGGTGTCGAACCAAGCTCTCTCGATGACGTATTGTTTAGTGACAACAACATCTTTCGATAGTGCCCATCTCCGGAGCTTAGGGTCCACATTCACGTCGTCAATCGGTTTTCTTCGAATCTTCATACCCCGGCAGTCTTTGCCAGTCATGCGCTCGATGATGTTGTTGAAGTTGCCGCTTTCATTCGTCTCTTTGAAGTGGTTCAAGAGGCAAACCAGTGTCCCCTGCGTCGGCTCAAGCTTGGATTGAAATAAAGACTTGACCACGCTGGAGGCTAGGGGATGAAGTCCCGCGGCGTCAAACCCCTTAATCAGGGTGTTGTACGTGTGGATAGTAGGAGGCTGCGACGAGACGAGAAGGTTGTGGCACACCTTCATAATTGTTGACCGGAGATTGGAAGGCTGTGCCACCTCAAAGATGTCTCTTAACGACCTGTTCAGATCCGCACTGCACTTCTTGAGAGCTCCGGAGTCCACTTCCCGCTCGTAGTGAGGGTAGCTTCTCTGCCTCAATTCTGCGACCTCTTGCTGTAAGTGTTGCGTGTCGCAGTCGTCGTGTTTTACCTTGTCGAGTCCTCTCCTAATCTTCTTCGGATCACCGCTTCCGGTTACTGTCTTTCCGCGGAGCAAGCTGGAGACCAATTGCTGCATGTTATCCTCCGCTGCCTTCATCTGCCTTAGCGTTTTTGGAGCGCGGTGCTGAAAATTGCGCGGGGCCTCATCCTCGACGAGCAAACGATCCAGCAAAACGTAGTCTGTGCGAGCAAGAGCCCTCATCGACCTCCTTGTTGGTTCGAGTCCATACTCTGCCCATATCATTTCCACCTCGGGAGACCTTGGCGGAGCCCGGGACCACGTCTGCGTACGGCCCAGGGAATCGAAAAACTCGGAGATCTCGCTCGGCTGCTTCTTGTGGTCCCTCAATGCGCCCTTGTATCGGTTGGCAATGTTCCCAGCCGGTGCTGTCTCGAGGGTATCGGCCGATGAGTTTTCCATAACCTTCGCGAACTCCGCCCTCGCCTCCTCGAGTTGCCGTTCCAGATCCTTCCGGCGCTCGTCCTTTCTCTTCGCATCCAGCACAGCCGCCGTTCCCATGATTGATGTGTAGCACGCCGTGAACATTTCGGTAAAGGTCGGTTTCCTTTGTGTCGCTCGCGTCGCCGATTGACGCATCATGCCTCCGGCGGCATTGAAGCAGGCTTTGCAGCCGCAATGGCGCACCTGGCCCGCTCTGGACCAAAGTGCCTGCATTTTGACGGCATTCCGCCTGCGTTGGCAGCCCCGATGAGTCGAATTGATAGGCTGGTCGGGAATTGACGTCGTCGGGATGTCGAATGTTTGTCGCCTGGAAATTGTGGTTTCTGATTGAACCAGAGACGTGCCAGAACGAGTTACCAGGCTCCAATTACAGGGGTGTGAAGTAGTATTGGTATGCAATTGAGCGAAGATATGCTCTGACAAATTATGCGATAAAAACGTATAGCTATTTACAGAAGTAACGCAACTGCCCCTCCATACCCCACCATAACTTCGATGTGAGCTTTGAAAGGTATCATAGCTCCAGACGACTCGAATATCTATCTGACCAGAACAAGCCGAAAGCCGACAGCCGCCATCAAAATGTTCGCCCTTACACTAACAGCCGAGCTCAACGGGTAAGTGAAACCGCTTGAAGAGCTTCGGGACCTCAAGACTCATTTCCGGACGACAGGGTCACGAATCTCCGTCCCGATGACAGCGAAGGCAACCCCTTCTGGTACACATTCAAGGTCCAGTGCACTTCATGCCGTGAAGTCCACGACAAGCCCGTTGGTGTCAGCCGTTTTGTAAGTTTATTGATTCATCATGAATCTGTACATCTGTTGACACGCAATACAAGGATGACAATGAGATGAGTGGCAGCAGAGGCGAGGCCAACTTCGTCTGGCGGTGCAAGAACTGCAAGCGCGAGTCCTCGGCTTCCATCAAGGCTGCGCCTACACCTTATGCACAGGGTGAACCCGCGAAGCAGCAGAAGCTTCTCGAATTTGACTGCCGAGGTCTCGAGTTCACAGAGTTCATCCCTGAAGGAGAATGGCTTGCCGAAGGCATTGATTCGGGTAGCAAGTTCACCGCCATTGACCTCACCGATGGGGAGTGGTATGACTACGATGAAAAGGCCGGAGAGGAAGTGAGTATCAAGGATCTGAAGTGGGAGATCAAGCGTGCTTGAAGAAGCTCGACAGGGATTTGTAAAGCTGTTGTATGGTGTTTGGTGTGGGATGGCGATGCGGTGTGGGGGGATGTCGAAAGAATTCGGCATGTTTTTATGGCGTTTCTGAGCTCTTGTCTTGTGACAATGACATGTCTTACTTGAGCATGATTTTTCGGCATTCACTCGTGATCATCAACGTACGGGATTTGCATGTCAGCATGTATGGGTATTTTGCCACTCTAAAGTAACCTAATTCTACAAGAAAGTCTTGCCCGCCCTCTATTCCATGCATCAATCATCACATACATCCCAAAGCCATCCAACCCGCCCCCAATCTCACCTTCTCTCAAGGAGAACGAGCCAAGGCCGATACTCATGTGTCAAAATCCTTCGTGATCGTTCCGGGCAGACAAGCGAGTGACTCCATCTTATCTGAACTCAAGCGAGCCTGTATGGAGTCCTCAGTGCTCATGCCCAGAAATCACGACACGGCTGTCGTCAAGGCCTGTCATAGACCTGTGTCAAGTCCAAGTGTGCCGCGTGACTGCAAACCGGTTATAATCAAGGTTTCCGGTCTGCAGACAAAACAAAAGGGAAAAGTAGAACCATCTCTCGTCATCATCTGCCGTGCTGAGAAGCACATTTGCCGTGCTGAGAGGCACAACTTGTATTCTCGTTCCTCTTCAGGATCTTTAGTTGTCAAGACGGTTCCGTGTATTCAGACACATGTCAGGCTCTTCATTCAAAGCCTAATCGCCCAATACTGACGGTTGACAGAAACGCAAGTAGTATCAGGCTTAGCAGCGAGCAGCTGATCGTGGGTTCCAGTAGCCTTCGGCATTTCTATTGGAAATCGGTGCGTCTCCGGAATTCGGAACAATAAAAAGACACTTCAAAGAAAGTAGTCACCAGGTCCACGGCGGTTGGCAGGAACGTGACGCTGGTCATCAGGGACAGCGGAGAAGATGCTGAACTTGGGGTTCATGTCCTTGTCGACAGTCATAATGGATGCGACGTTGCCGCAACGGTAGCAGTAGTTGGGAGCAGACCAAACAGTGACGACCGAGTTTTGAGGGAAGTGGTACTGGGCCAAGGTTAGCAATGGAATGGAGCAAGGCTAGCATGAGACAGTATCACGTACCTTGTAGCCCTCGTTGACAAGCTGATGAGCTCTGGCAATCAACTTGAGACCATTGACGTGGTTGAACTCAGTCGCAACCTTGTCGCCAAAGAGCCAGCCGGCTCCACGAGGGCTAATAGCCCACGTCTCGACGTCTTCGGGGTCCGACCAGACAAGATCGCAGAAAGCACCCTCGTGAGGAATCTCTTGGGCACGGGCAACGACGCGAATCTGGTCGATGGTACGGATCTCGGGACTCAAGCCGCCGTGGACACAGAGAAGCTCGCCGTCGACGATGGCTGCGAGGACCAGGAAGTCGAAAACATGGCAGCAGGCCTTCCAAACGGAGGCATTTCCATACTTTTGTTGGCACTCCTCGTAGAATCCATAGACCTGAGTGATCTGACGAGACTCGTGATTACCGCGGACGAGAACAATTCTGTCGGGGTACCTGGAAACAACAGTAAGTACCATAATGCAACTTGCTTCGCTCATACTTACTTGGCCTTCAGGCACATGAGAAGGGTGAACGTCTCGAGACTGAAATAGCCGCGGTCAACGAAGTCGCCCAAGAAAATGAACCGGGTCTCGGCCGACTGCGAGGAGGCGGAAACTTCGGCGGCAGAGTCAGCTCGGGAGGCGACGCTGGTATCAGCAGCCGCCGCTTCGTCCTCATCGTCCTCATCAACGACAGCGCCACCAGCGTTCTTGACCTTCTTCTTGAGCTTGGGGTTTGTGATCTCGGTAGGGGGCTCAATGTCTTCAGGGTTGATTACAGTGGTGGCAGTCTTGGGTGCCTCCACTCTGGTTTCGCCGGGCATTCCACCCGCGACACGGAACAGCTCAAGAAGATCGTAGAACTGGCCGTGGATATCGCCGCAGATTGTGACTGGAGTGCACACGGGCTGGATGTTGGATTCTGAAGTCCCCAAGTCAGTACATATGAAGCCAAGCACGAACACAGCACGCCTTACCCTCCATGAGGACTTCCTTCACCAGCTCACAGAGCTCCTTCATAGCGCGCTCGGGTAAGTAGTGGCACTGCTTGGCTTCCTCCAGCCACTCATCCAAACCTGCGTTTGGCGAGAGGTTGGCAGGGCCGGGTCGGGGAATCTGGCTCGCCATTTTGTCGAGAAATTGGGCACGAACTTGGGACTTCGCCTCAGCTTCGTAGGGATCGAACTCGTCGGAAATGTTTGGGTTAAACTCGTCGGTTGGCAGTGCCAAATCGTACTCGAGCTCGTCGGATTCGTAGTAAGCTGGATCAAATTCGTCGAACTCGTCGGCAAAATCTTCGTAATCCAAACTTCCGCCGCGGAGAGAAACGTCGGATGAATCTTGAGCGGAATCGTCAGATGGTCGAAGAACGCGGGCGATTTGTGCAGTGCGAACCTCGGGTTCCTCAGCGTAGTCGAGCCCTTCGTCTTTGGTAGGCGACTCCTCTTCGATGGGTTCGGGGAGAGGTCGATTGCCAATCGGTCCCGGAAACACGAACGGAGGTGGGTTGGAGGGGCGTGTCAGCGATGTAGACCGGGAACGGCGACTTGGAATCGTTGGATAGGGCTCCTGCTGGTTCAAGGCGACCGGGTTCGACTGGAGAGGCGAAGGGTGCGGTGGAGCAGTGTCTTGGGCGGGGGGAGGGGCTTGAAGAGTACGGTTGGGTGCGACAGCTATGCGGGTGCTGTTGCCGGTGGGGGGCTCGGGCAGCGGCCGGGGGGTTGATCGCTGCGGAACAACTCGATGACGAGATTCTTCCAGGAAAGCTTCCAGAGTCGCCTTGTCAGCGGCTTGACGTCGCAAAACTCTCTGGCGATGCTCTTCAAGAGGATTGTCGTAGCCTCCAACGACGATTGGTCGCGGTCGGCTGAAGTTGGGAGCGCGGGGACGTTCAGTGCTCAACGGGGCAAGAGTGGGGATATAACCCGATTTGCCTGGAACTGAAATGCCTGGACGTCGACCGGGATGGGGACTCGACGCGACAGAAGAGGAGGCAGAAGAAGAAGCTGTAGGCGCAGTCGCAGAATGAGTGGGACTCTGCGCTAAAGGGTAGTCAGGACGTCCAGACGGGAGCTGAAATGATACTTCCGCGCTCCGGTGACGTCCACCTCCTGCTCCGGGTCTGCGGCGAGGGCCGTTTGTCACGGGATTACTCTGGTATTGGTTGGCGCGTCGAATCGCCGCTTGGATTTCCTCCTCACTGGGAATCTGGTACCCTGATTTTGTCGCGACCTTGGCCTTCGGACTTTCCTCTTGCTGGGCAGGTGCTGCAAGTATCTTTTCCTGGTTAAAGTCCGGAAATCTTTCCGGGTAGGCGTCGATAGGCACGCTGTCTTTGTCCTCGGAGGACTCGACTTCCTGGTCCATCTTGACCCTCAGGTGCTGGGTGAACTTCGGGAAAACTTGGTGTTTCGGAATATTGTTCAGCCGAAGTTGCTGATGTGAGAAGGAAGGTTTAACCGAGGTTTCTCCAGGTGACTCAGTTAACAAAAGAACACACTCTCCACTCAAAAGAAGCTATCCAAAAGCGGTTAGTCTGCTGTTATCAGATAAGGCCCACCAGAAGACAGTTGCACCCTGCCCGTGCACCATTCTTTCAGATCCAGTGTTGATGTGAACCCAAGCCCCGCGTCAATACCTTGCCGTCACATCAGCCTTGACAATCCTACCCAAGACTTCTGGCGCAGCCCTTTTGTCTTCAGAACACAGCAGGCTTCATTCTCTTAACATTCTCCAAGCAAACATTCAATGTTTTGTACACCGCTTGCTCCTAGCCTTTTCGACACCAAACAATAACCAGAGAAAGCAGTGCACTCCCCTTGGTATCAAGCGCCAAATATCTAGAACAATCCTATTCTTCCCATCCTCAAGACCTTTGGTGCCGCGATGGCGACATCCGGCGCCCAGGGCGCCTCCCGTAAGACGAATGGAGTACTCCCGGCCTCTGGCCAGCAGCCCGCTGCAGATGCGACAAAGTCCAACAAGAGCCGGACTCCTGTCGAAGGCGACAAAGTGGTTATTCGAAGGCTGCCGCCTGGCATGACAGAGCAAGAGCTGTGGAACAACCTTGGTGATGAGTGGAAAGCTGGAAACGGCCTCGTCAGCTGGCACAACTTTGTGCAGGGAAAGATTTCACAAGAGTTGGTGTTTGCTCTCACGGCATGAAGGGACCACGGACTAACTTTTGGTGTGCGTAGCCCTGCGAAGCCCTCGAGGCCAGGGAGAGTCTACCTCCACGTCTTGAAGCGCGAAAGCCTCAATGTTCTGTCAAATCTGATTCAAGCCAAATCCTGGGAAGACGCCAAGATGACCTCCAACAGCGCTTCTCTGGTCGGTCCTCCAGTTCTCGAGTTTGCGATTTACAACAAGATCCCGAGCGGTAAGAAGCGCTCCGACCCTAGACAGGGCACGATCGACCAGGACCCGGAGTTTATGGCCTTCCTCCTGTCGTTAACGAACCCGGAGATGGAGAGGGAGAACGAGAACAGCGAGGGCAAGGATACGGAGGATTCGAAGCCCGAGGCCAAGGTCACGACGACGCCCTTAATCGAGTTTATCAAGGAGAAGAAGGCGAACAAGCAAAAGGAGGCCGCTGCCGCTAAGAGCGCCAAGCAGGCCCGTCAGGATTCAAACACTAAGGGCAAGGCGTCGGCATCAAATGCGGAGGATTCAAAGAAGGGCAAGAAGGACTCCAAGGGAGAGAAGTCGGCCGACAAGCCCAAGGAGACGGTCAAGATTCTCACCAAGAAGGCCGCCGCGGAAGCTGCCAAGGCCGCCGAAACAGTCGCCAGCCAGATCACCCAGGCCTCTTCATCCTCTCAGGATGCGCCCAAGAGTCGGCGGGCTGGAATTGCGGCCGCCGCACGCATTTTGCAGAGAGATCTCGGCATCAGTCCGGGAAGTGCCCATAGGAGGGCACGGCTGGACGCTGCCAAGGCTGAGGCGGAAGCCAAGGCGACGACGACGAAGGAGGCACCGCAACCAGCGGCCGCACCCCCGGCACCAAATCCGGCACCCGCCGCGGCGCCAGCTCATTCGCCCGCGGCCGCTCCTCAGACATCGGAACGGAGCACAACGCCCACGGCGCCCAAGTCGGGCCGTTCTCGCAGAGGTGGTGGCGGTAAGAACGCGGGTGCTAGCGATTCTAAGAGCAAGTCGACCGAGGCAAGCTCCAGCAACGCACCAGCGCCTGCCAAGGCCCCTGTCGTGTTGCTCAAGAACAAGGACGAGGAAAAGAACAAGGAGAAGGGCTCCAAGGCAGACAAGGAAGCATCAAGCTCGGCGTCGCAGTCTGCCGCACCGGCAACGAATGCGAAGTCTAACCCCTCGACCAGCGCTAAGTCCTCAGGCAAGGGCGGCGGCAACTCGAAGAAGAGCTCAGCTGTCGTCACCCCCGGCGTGACGCGCGGTTTCGTCAAGCATGCAAACCCGTCGCAGGGCGTCACCGAGGCGCTCCTGAAGCAGGCCATGGAGGTCTTCGGCACCGTCACGTTCGTCGAGATCGACAAGCGCAAAGGCTTCGCTTACGTCGACTTCTCCAACCATGACAGCCTCGTCAAGGCAGTCACTGCGAGCCCGGTACAGGTCGCCCAAGGCACTGTTCAGGTCCTCGAGCGGAAGGAGAAGAAGCCCTCGGCGCCCAGTTCGAACGCCAAGTCGGAAACCAGCGGCGCCAACGCCAACGCCGGCGCGACGAGCTCCAACTCGGCCGCACCCTCGGGTCCCGGGTCGGGCAACAACGCGACCCCGTCTGAGAAACCGGAGCACCACAAGCGAACCAGACGCGGCCGCGGTGGGGGCAAGGCCGCCGCGAATGCGTCGGGCAGCAACAGCGGCAACAAGGATGCGCGCAACGAGCCCGCCGCCTCGACTGCAGGTACGGGATGATGAGCAGAACAGCCTTTTTTTCTTGTGTGCTTTGCATTGATTGACTACAAATCTGTACCTTGCATGGTTAACTTTTCCCACGTGCGCTGCGTGCGCGGATTTCTTACGACACGCGCCCAATATGAGCACGAACCAGGGTTAGAACGGGCCGAAGAGCTGCGGAGGAAGGGGGGGAGGAAACAAGAATTCCCACCATGCGTACCTGCGTTTCTGCCCAAACCAAAGCCCAACAACGTGAGAGGCCTGCAACGAGGGTGGTCTTACCAACCCCAACCCCTCCCAAAGCGACCGCCCTCGGTCCGGCTGACTGCAGCCCAAACGAAGCGCCCTTCGGAGATGACGAAACGCGAGGATCGGCAGCAGGTGAGCGTGCATTGCAGCTGCGGCGGCGGGTTCCACCTGCGCAGAGGGTTCTGGTGGAGGGGAAAGAATGAGTGATGGCGGTAGTGGTGCGTCAGCTAGGGGGGATATGGTTGGGCGGCCCGGGGAAATCGTGAGCGAAGCCCGCAGAGTGCGTCTTGGATGGATTCGTCCGTAGAAACAAATGGCAAATTGGCAAAAAGGGGAGCACATCTGTCCCATAGTAGCGGCGAGTAGCCTTCTGAGAGATTTCAAACATCACATGAGCACACAAACAAAAACTTGCAAGACAATAAAGAGGGTTCCGATCAAGTTCCAGTGTTTGGTTTGAATTGGGTGACGAGGATAACCATCTAACACGGTATCCGCCGCCGGCTTTGCTTCACAGCGTACAAGAATATGCCCTCCATCTCCCTCCAGCCGAGAGAGGGGAGGGTGGCGTACAGGCTACATACAAACAGAAACGTCCACCTTTCTAGTTTTTCGAGAGCTCGCAAAAAAGAATCTAGGAAACAAACGCTTCCCCCCCCCCTCCCATGCCCGGTTTACATGTAACCCCATGATGACAATGAGAACTAAGAAAAAAAGAAGAAAACAAAAGGAGGTCAGATCGGGCTCCCGGGCGCCGTCGCACGCGCCCACCCCGCAGCACCCCAGGTGACAGCGCAGTAGGCGAGGACCGCGAGGAGCACGCCGAGGAGCAGGCCGTCCGTCTCGCGCGCCGCGCGGGCGAGCCTGGCCCTTGCGTCGACTACCCACAGGGTCTCGCCGGCGTCCCGTCGCGCGACGCGGAGCCCGGGGAGGCCGTCGAGGGAGGCCCGGTTATTCTCGACACGGTACTTGTTGATGGTGTTGTTGTCGACGCTCTTCTTCGAGAAGAAGTCGAGGGTGGGGCGCTCCTCGAAGACGGAGAGCTCGTCGCCCTTGCGCGAGCCGTCTCCGGCCGGCGGCGCGTAGAGCTCCTTGCGGACCATCGGCACGCCGTACCCGCAGCTCGTCTGGGCCTCCCAGACCTCGCCGACCACAACGGCCCTCGCGCCATCGTACGAGTCCCGGCCCGTCGGGCCCTGGGGGACGATACGCTTCATCCACGAGTCAAACTCGGGATGGTCCCACTCGATGATCCGGCTCTTGCAGAAGAGGCGGAGGATGCGAGGCGAGGGGCCAAAGGACATGAACATAAGCGTCAAGCGCCCATTCTCGTAGCTGTGGGCGATGGTCTCGCATCCGGAGCCGGTACGGTCGATGTAGGCGACCAGGTTCGGCGAGAGGACGGCGAAGTGGGCCGAGAGGCCCTTGGGCGAGACGTTGATGTGAGGGAGGTGGGTGGGTGCCGAGGCGGTGAAGAAGACGGGTTGGCGGGTGGCCCAGTCTGCGAGGTCGGTGCTGATGGAGGGATAGAGCTTCATGACGATGGAGGTGTCGGCGGTTGTGATGGTCGCAGATTGAAACAAACAAGCCAAAAAAGTTGAGAGAGGTATATCTTCGCACACGTGAAAGGGGGTATTGGGTATCGTATTGTGGATGATGAAAAGAAAATTCGGCTGTTACAGGATTTTTGTTACAGGAATGAGAGGGTAGGAAAGAGATCGAGAAGACGCGGGGGCCTTTTTTCTTTTTTTTTTGAAGTAAACGGATCGGCCCGAGAAAATGCAACATCCGCGGAGCCTTATGTCGTCCGCGGAGCCTTTTGTGAGGAGGATGATAACTGGATAGCGTCAATCAGTTGCATCTCACGTAAGTCGTTTCGTCCACCGCCTATGCGGGGGACGATATCAGCCATCCCCCAAAGAGGGAGGTGGCCCTACTCCAAGACGGCAAGGTGTAGGAGCCCTCCCTGGGCCCCCGCACCGCTTATCGGTTGCGTGCCTGGGATGAAGAGCTTTCTCTGTGGCTGAATGCAGAGTGCTGTAAACGTATTTGCGCATATGCAGAAGAAAGAGAGAGAAAAAAGCCACCCCAGGCGGCTGTGCGTCACACAGGGCTTCCCCCCCCCTTCTTGCTGTTTGGTTCTTTAACGGCGCGACCTCCCGCGGGGAGCATCGAGGACCGGCGACAGAGGGTAAGCGTGGTAGCTCCCGTCACCTTGAACGTATTGAGAGGCAGAATCGGCGTAGTAGTCACCCCCGTACTCGGGGTATGCCGGGCTGCGCGGCAGAGTGCTGAAGGCGGAGGTGTCGGGGATGGTGGTTGTCGTGTAAACAGCCGGCCTGATGGAGTCGTGGTAGGAGGTTGACTCGGCGCGTGAGTGACGGGAGCGGCCCGGCTGCTCTGCGGGAGGGACGGGACGGGAGGCGGCAGGACCCAAAGGCTCTATGTAGCTGCCGCTCTGTTTGCTTCGGCCCGAGCTGCTGCCGGAGGAAGAAGAACTCTTGTCGTCCTTGTGGTCGAAGCGGCCGCGGAGGCGTTCCTTGTCCTGCTTGACGCGCTTCTCGAGCTCCTTCTCCTCTGTGGTCTTGCGCGGCTTGCTCTCACTGCGGCGGTGCTTAGACTCGCTGCGGTGATGCTTGGATTCGCTGCGGCGCAAGTGCTTGGACTCCTTGGGCTCCTTGGGCTCCTTGGGCTCCTTGGACTCCTTGGGAGAGGGGGGGTGAGTCTGCAGGGCGCCAGACATCTTGGTAGACTCGCGGGGCGGGCTGGTGCGAGACTTGCGATCCTCACGAAGGGCATCTACCTCTGCGCGCAAGTTGCGCTTCTCGCTCAGCAGGGCCTTGTTGTCGTTCTCCAAAACCTCGACGGTGTTCTGCATGGCGGTCAAGCGGGCGTTGGCCTGCTGGAGCATTGTTTCGGCTTCCTTGAGCTTGTCCCTGGTTGCCAGGTACTCCTCTCTGAGCTTGCTGTGGTTCCTCTCGAGGTCGAAGTACTCCTGGGCTGTAGGGCTCGAGCTAAAGTCGGATTCGACGCCCGAGTCGCTTGCCTGGCGACGGTGGCCCTTGGTGGCCGGGGTGGCCTGGAAGGTGACCCGTTGCTCCTTTCTGTTGGCTGAAGACATGGTTGGCGGTTGTTGACGGCTGGGCGGCCGTATTGTCGATCAAGGGTAAATTGATTCTGGGGGGACCAAGTCGAGGCGCAAATGCCCTTTTCGCCTTGAACAGGCACAAAAGCGAGGCCGTCAGTCGTAATGTAGTGTAGGTGTGCGCAGTGTTCGGTTTGAGTAGTGTCGGATTGAGAAGGAGGGAGGGAAAATAAAAATAAAAATTGAAATTCGATGTGGGTGGTGGTGCGGTGTGTGGTAGGCGCGCACGGGTTAATACAAGTCGTGTGTGGCCTTGTCGAGATGAGTCAAGTCGGGTATATAAGGGGGTGAATGCTGCCCAAGATGGGACCAGGTTCTTTTTTTGGCTCGGGAAAAGGAGACGGAATAGCCGGGACTGTGAAGGAGAAGGCAAAAAGTGAGATGGATGGAACGGGGGAGAAACAAGAAGATGCGGCGCATTGGAACATTTTATTTATTCATACACAGCCCGTTGCAGCCTTCCCGGAGTATGAGCAGATAGAGAGGGAGCGCGCGAGCAGCCGGAAGGGAACAAGAGAGAGAGAGAGAGAGAGAGAGAGAGTGTGTGTGTGTGTGTGTGTGTGAGTTGAGTGTGTGTGTGTGTGGGCGTATGAGTGATAGTGTGTGGTGGTGTGGATTGTACTTTACTGCTGCCTCCGGAAGCAACGCAACTTTTTTTTTTTTAATTATGCAAAGGGAGAGCGGGTGCAGGGCAGGGGAGGGGGGCACCAAATGAAAACGAAAATGGTACCTGGAACAGTCTCCGAGACCCAAGGAGATTAGCAACATTCCAGAGGTACCGCATCGGTAGTGGCTATGTAGGGCTGGCCGGTTGCTGGGTGCCTCGTGGGCGCAGCTGCGCAATAGAGTCATCGCTCATGTCTGTATGCGTACGGAGCACAGAGGGGTAGCGGGAGTTACAGTAGGTATGTACGCACATCAACCCGCAGTGGTTCGCTAGGCAGGATGGCGGAGGTATCGCGGATCCCTTCTTGACCAGGGGGGGATGTGACGACGGGATGTGATGGGACGGGGAATGGAGATTTTCGGGAAGAAGAGGGGAGCGGGACTCGGGAAGGGGAGGCAGACTACCTACGAAGACTACATAATAGTATAGGGAGTATTAGTGTACGAAGTACGGGTACGGATACTCGGTACCTATGCTATGGATTGGAAAACAAAGTGGAAAAAGGTTGCCAAGGATCAACTCCCATTTCTGCTTCAGCCACCACCCAGCCAAGCAGAAGGGCAGGAAGACGAGGAAAAGGAGGGGAAACAGAATGGGAATTCTCGGTGGCAGGACACGTCCTCATTGGCGCAAGGCCGGGTCGCCGAGGCGGTGCAGGGCCAGCGAATCCAACAAGGCAGAAACGCCTGATTTTGCCGGTTGCCTCGTTGTGAATTTTCAACCTGGCCGCCTGATTTTGCTCTGGTGTGCGTGTTTACGTGTGTGTGTCTCTCTCCCAGAAAGTGGTTCGCCAACGCGAGTCGAGCACCCGACAGACTGGTTCGCCCAAGCCCTTGCGCGCGATGCGCTTGCATCTGGACTTTACATTCGCAGACGACACGAGGAGGGGCGGAGCACTCGATTACGTGCCGCAGAGACAGTCGAGGTGGCAGTCTGGAGGCGATGCGAGTGGTCTGCTCGCTGCCATTCGCAGACTCTTCGTACCCATTCTCCATACAATATTCGCGACTTGGTGAAAAGACAGTACGGAGTACTTGGAGACATTCCCGACGCCGACGGCCCGCTTAGCGCTGTGCGGTCCTTTCCTGCAGCCTCTTTATGCGAGCTCCAAACTTGCTTCTCCCTCGCGCCCACGACCGCCCAGGGATCATGATACGCATTGCGTGAGGAGCGCCTGCCCATTCGGAGGGAGCCAATGGTCAGCAACGATCGCGGCCGAGATCTTCTGGCAGCCTAGCAGACGACGCCATTTTGGACGCCGCGTCGTGAGTCACTGGCCGCCACGGGGCATGTGTGGACCCCTCCCCGCGACGAGATGCACGATTTGTTCGTTCGTGCGTTCGTTCGTGACGACGACAGCGATGATGATCAAGCGCTGGTGACTGAGGCCGCTGTCATTCCCAAATCCGACTCATGCCCTCGATGCTTGTCCGATGATGGCGTGTTCTTGGTTTGTTGGTGTCATCCCATCCCGCGCGTCTGTCCGGCACCTCCCCGCCAATGGAGGACTTGCACTTGGATCGATCACTTCTCCAACAATGACCCCCCCCCCCCCCCCCCCCCCCCTTTGGGAAATGGGAGGACCGTCGCGAGCCGCATTGCCACGGTGATGAATCAGGCTGTGGGTGGTGGTGGATTGAATGTGATGGGGTTGAGTGACGGCCTGCCTAGTTGAAGAGAGCTGGTGCTGCGAATGGGAACAAACCGAGCACAGACTTAGCGGGCACCGCCCCCCCGCAGGCCAATGCGACAGGCTAGTTCCCCTGCAACCACTTTGCCTTTGACAGGCCTGTCAACATTTTGGCTTCCCGTCCGTCAGACTCCTACTCCAAAAACGGAAAGAAAAAAAAAACATTAGACGGCAGCCACCAATGGAGGCCTCGACTGCCTGCCTGCCAGGCAGAGCTTTTAGCCGGCAGAGCGTGGATTGCTCCGGAGATTCTAGCGTTCCCATTCCTTATCGTGCTTCGGCAGGGTCTCCAATTCTTTAGGGCTGGCCGGGCCCGTTTCCCGTCCTTTACGGGATCCCGTCCAGCAAGGATGGGAAGCCGTGACGGGGGGACTGCAAGGCTATGTATGGCGTAGTTTATACACTTTGGAAAGCCCCCAAATCCTGTACCACAACCGGAATGGCTGCTACTGTGGTTTACATCTATGAACCATGCCTTGGAGGAAGGGAGGGGGGAGAAGGGCATATTCTGTGGCACGATTCTCCTCTTGCCAGCGGACTCGTCCACCCCTCCCCCCTTGTACTACATCATCTAAACTATTAGACGAGAGAGAGCGACGACTTGGCCCAGCATCCCTGTCGGCAGGTCTTGCGCCCTCATAGCCCAGCCCTGACGCGCCAAGGCCAGGCCTTCGAGTCCGAGAAGGATTCCTCACGTCCGACGCCGGCGTACGCCACAGCTTTCGCTTGATCATCCCTTTCCGTGCCGTTGGCATCTCGGCTCGTGCCAAGGTAGAAACAGCTAGAAGCAGCGACGCGGCTCTTGCTAGCCAGGCGGTTCGCACTCGTCGGAGGATCCTGTGCCTGAGAGCCTACCGTCGGGGAGGAGCCCGAGTTCGGAGACGGATCGCGTGCTTGTCTAGCTACCAAAATGTGCCTACTGACGGAATTGCTGTGAGGAAGGAAACATGTAAGTTGATTTGTTAGAGCAAAGTGGGCAGTCCCTGGCCAGTGGGCCCTGACTACCTTACCTACCTAGGTAGGCCTACCTCGGTACCCATCTAGGCAGGTTCGGAGAACCTTCGTGACAGCCGGTACGTACCGTGACAGTCTGGGAAGGAGCGTTGGGTCCACTTGCCCTTTCCGTGGCCAAGAGGGAGACTTGGTTGCCTAGGTAGGTAGGTAATACCCCCGGCTTTGTTTCCCCCCCACCCATCATCGACTCCAAATACTGCCGTAACCCGACACATCACGGCTTACTTGCCTGCCTCTGTCTCGGAAACGGGACGTGAGACGCCAACAACACCGTTTGGACATCTAGGACTATGCCAGTCCGAGTCCGGCGACGACGTCGCGATCCTCCCGGCGGCTTCGCTCCATGTACAGACATTTGGCCACGTCGCCGCCCGCAGCCAAGGAGTCGCACGCCTGATGAGAGCTGACGAGGCCTCTCAAAGGATGAGGTATGCATCCAAGGCCATATCGGGGAAGGGAGGTCCTGTAGAGATTGCCGCCGCTGTGCACCACTCAGCCGCGTCTCTGTCACACACACCACACCGTCCGCCGTGGTCGACACCGACTCTTTTTTTTTGCCGTGTGGCCCGCAGCAATCTCCCTTCCCCCGTCCCCGGCCTGCACCGCTGTCCGAGGGCTCCTGTTACTGACTGCGGCTGAGTCTATGCACTTGACCTAGGTAGGTAGGCACGTCGTGATCCTATCTCCTGCTGCTTCCTCTCGCTTCACCTCGGTGTCAGCGCTGTAGCCGAGGTGTGGGACGAGAGGTGCCGTGAATCGAGTAAACCTTCCGCTAGCGAGCTGATCAGCCTCTTCAGGACAAAAGAGGGGGGGAGGGGGGGAAGGAAACAACACGACGAAAGGGTGTTGCGCATCCGCGCACCAGGAAGGGTCGTGTGTTGCTTCTGCGGCAGGGAACTGTTGTAGCCCTGGGCTGCACACCATGGTGACGCCGGGAGGGGGGAGAAGCTGGGTGGTGTCGACTATAGACGCGGGTATTACAAAAACTTGGTAAACACGGACGGCGGTCTGGTTCCCCAGCTGTTAGTCCGTGGCGGCCGGTTCTAGGTGGGAGTGGGAGAGCATTGAGTGAGGGGGAGGGGGAGGACAATGAACGGGATGGCGTCATGGGGTTGTATGTCTCGGGCGGGCAGCAGCTGACTACCAGGCCCGGTGCCGAGAGCAAGTCACTGCGACGGCATCCAGGCACGACATGATCTTATTTCACCAATTCCAGCTCGTAGCGTCTCTTAGAAATCAACGACGCAACAAAAGACACATAATACACACGCAAAGACACATCGCATCCTCTTCACCTCCCAGGGATGGTCGGCCGAGCCTCGCTCTCGTGAATAGAATCACTGTCCAGAGCATCGCCTGACTACCCAAATGAACTTTGTTGGATCGACGGGGGGGGGGGCGGCCGTTGGGGGCGGCCTAAAAAAAACGCTCGCGAAGCTGGGAGGGGAGCCAGTGGACAGATGCCGTGTTGGTGGTTTTTTTGGGGGGGGTGACTGGATGGTCCCATCCAAATCAAAACACTACGTAGGAGCACCTCACGTACCATACGAAACTAGGTATCCAAGACTGCGACTATACGTGGAAGGAATCAGGAGACGATATTGAGTCTGCTAGTATCGGGGATATCAGCAGTTTGTTTGAAAGAAACGGTCTATAGGTATTGCAAAGATGAGCAGCGCAAACACCCATCAATCCCGTACTCTCCCACCCGAGAGATACTTCGGAACCCCGTTGCGTCGAATTTCCTCCGCGCAGAAGGGGAGTCAAGCAAATTCAAAGCAGTACTGGGGCCACATGACAAATGAAAAAATGGAAAACAAAATGAAAAACAAATAAAAAAAGAGGCATAGTGGGCGCGAAATGTCAGATCGCGGTGCCCCTGTCCAATGATAACCATCCGTTCCCCCCTTTGATAGACTCAGCGTGCCTGCCTAACTCACATCCAATGAAGCACCGCCAACCGTAGGTCTATCTGCAAACAGAAGCCAATAACGGCCAAGTCTTACAATCTCTCCAATCAGAGCCTGCGCGGGCCTGCATGTTAGTCCTTCGTCTCTAGCCACGGGCCGGAATAATAGGGACATACTCAACGGGGTTTGTCGAAACGAACATCCAGCCAGATATCGTCCTTCCTGACAAAAGAAAGACGTGATCCTTTCTCCTCATGAAGAGTGAGATTCCCAACCAAAACGCCTACGAATCCATGGTATCAAAAAGAAAAGCCCTCTCCCCTCTCCCCCAAAAGAAAAACGTATATTCCCACGTCACCCCCGTCTCCATCACTGGAACGTAATGAAGCCGTGCCGACGAAGGACCCGCTCGTACACGCGTATCTTGGCGCCCTGCTCCGCGATAAAGGTCCGCTGCGCATCGAGGTCCCTCCGCAGCCTCTTGTTGTGATCCTCCACCGCGTCGAACTTCCTCTCCCACGTGGACACCAGCCGCCTCAGCTCCTCGATGCGCTCCGAAACGCCGTGGTGGGCGTGACGCGATAGCTCCCTCACCCGCGCGACCAGCCCGTCCCGCTCTCTCTCCACCTTGGCCAGCTTGCTCCTCACCCGCTCGAGGTCGCGCAGGTACTTGGCGGCGTTGCCGCCCGAGTTCTCGATCGAGCAGCGCAGCGACGCGTTCTCCTCCCGCAGGAGCTGGTTCTCGGCCTGCAACGTTGTGGCGAGGCCGCTCAGGCGCTGGCCCTCGGTGTTGGAGGCTTGGAGGTCGCACTTGAGGGAGTAGTTCTCGCGGGTGAGAACGTCGTTGACCTCACGGAGCTTGCGCTCCCGTTCCACGAGGCCGTTCCAGTCTTCCCGGGACACATGCGCACAGTCATCACGGCAGCAGTGGTGGGTCGGTGGCTGCGGCTGCGGCTGCGGTTGAGGTTCTTGGCGATGGCGGTGGTGGTGGTGGCGGCGGTCGTGGTAGGAGCGGGAGCGCTTGAGCGAGACGAACTGATATCGGTCCGGAGAGGTCTCGAGGTACCACCGGCGGGTGGCCATATGATCTTTGCCGCAGCGATGCGGACAGTGAGCGCTCAGCGGGATGCCCAGTGTGGATTCAAATGCAAGAGAAGAGCCGCAGTGTGGTCTTGAGAGCGTTGGTAGCAGGCTCTTATACGTGGATCGTATTCGTTGAAAGGCGGGATATCAGAGAGGCCCGACAGCAGCACGAGAGAATTGTGATGGCAGAACGAAAATTGGAAAGACCCGTAGCAAGAGAGATCGGCACCTTGATATGAGAATCTGGGAGAAGAGGCAGCAGACCACAGAGGATAGGGCGGTATGCAGGTGATCAGTGCAGGAGACCGAGGGTCTGAGAATGAACGAGGATTGGTGAGACACCTGCATGACGGGGCGGGAGCGGGTAAAGCTTTATTTTTAAAGGGTCCTGTTCGAACAGCCGGTGCCCTGGCATAGAACTGGAACCAGAGTTCTGGGAGGCCGTCTCTAGACTAGAACTCGACGGGCTGTCGCGCAGACTGACTGCAAGTCATCGGGGGGGTGGTGTATAGAGAAGAGGCACCGGGGACCACGAGGCTCAAGCGCGTGGGCGGGAAAGGCATGGGCGCGCCGGTTCGGTGGCTGACGCGCCCATGGAGGTGTGGGACGCGATGAGAAAGGTGTGCGAAGCGGTGCCATGAAGGATAGAGAAAGGGTTTGCGTCGTATGACGACGTTGTTCTCCTGGACCGACCCCCCTCTACTTCGACGGTGCGGTTGTCGGGTGCCATGTCGCTGACCTAGGTGTGAGACCGAGCCGGGCTCAGGAGGCGAGAATGGTAGTCATGTAGACGGCCTCCCAGATTATGGTGAGGTGAGACTTGGGTGGTCGTTTGGTCCATGGCGCATGAGTGACATGTCTCAGGCGCAAAGGGGTTGGGGGTCATTCGGGGCCAGCTCCGGGGCTGAGCCTTGCAAGACTCGTCGACCGGCCATCATCCCGTTGCCTTGGGACGAACGTCATTTTAGACTGGGCACAACTAGAAGAAGACCAGAAAAATCGTGGGAGTTCCTGCATGGGTTTGGCCAGTGTTCGTCGGGGCGTCCGAAGCCATGGTCTTGAGAGCGCTGGCGTGGTTTCGTAGTCGGGACGTTGACCGTCGTTCTACCATGTATGTTCAAGGTCTAGCGGGCGATGGTTAGTTGGTGTGGGGATGCAGCCGTTGGAGAATTGGATCCACATCTGGAAGCGTGCACGTGGAGATGGCGCCTTGCGATAAGGATCCGATAAGGAAGTGACATAGGTATGTACTAGTGGGGTCGCCGTTGCGCTTGGGCTGCCTCCACCTGCCAGACTTGGCGGTACGTACAGAGCTCCCTCCCCTTCGCCTGAACCAACATCGTGTTGGACGACGGCCACGCTCTCCCTCCTCCACCGTCATACTACACTACGCCAACACGACGAAACGTCTACACAGCCTCAGCGAGGCTGCCACGCAAGACCTAAAGGGCACTCAGGCACACCCGTTCTTGGTTGTAGCGTGAACTAGATTCCTGGTAATTGTATATTTTCAAGTTCCGGTGCCTTCCCTCCGCACAGTCTTCCGGCCGTCACATGTTCTAGGTGAGGCAGGATGTCTTTCCTTCGGCGAAGACGCCTGTTTATGCATTTTTCAGCCTGTGTTATGTTTACCAAGTCCTGTTGCCTGACATTGAGGCCCTGCTTATTTCGATGCCTCGTGTGGATGGGTGGCAAGGGAAATTGGGACGAGCTGGCTGCGGGAGGGAGACCATCACAGTCTGAGGTTATTCCGGCTTGAGCCCCTCTCGGAAAACACGGCAGTCCTCACCTTCTTTCTCCCCAGGCTCATGCCAGCTGGAATAAACCGACCTGGCTTTGCTTTCCCGCTGTCGCATCGCTGGATCTGGATAAAGGAAACGCCATTTATTGTGCACGGCTTTCCACTAATACTGATCCCCAGATCCCAGGGTGAAAACCTGCTTTCTCAGACGCCTCGAAACTGCCCGTGTTGGGTCTCCAACCGCCTTCAGCACGAATAAATCGATTGCTACCAGCGTCTACCACCCTTGATACCGAGTGAATTATATGACGAGGCCAAAAGCTCCGAAATTGCTCCTTGGTCACAAACACGGGCAGTGGATCAACTGGATATTGTGGCCACGTACGCCAGATCGCTTCTGTTACTTGGGGTCCGGGTGATGTGGTGGCGGAGAGAAAGAATAGGGCATGCCGACGACTGCGGGAGATGTGGCGTTCGAACTCTCTACAAGAAACCATTGACATGCCTCCAGGTATCCTTCTTTCTGGGACCTGAACCCGGGGCCGTGTGTACATCCTGTGTACCCCATCATCAAGGGCCAGTTTCTGGGTTCCGGGGTTTGTTCTTGTTTTGAGATTCATCTACGTTTCTCCCAGAGTGCCACCGCTTCCAGACTAGCTTGGGCTTCCCGCTTACGCCCCCGGAGATCGTAGCCCCGTATCCTCGAGGAGTTGTCCTCTTTAACAGTATCACAACCCGACCGTAATCCTGACTTGCACTCGTCGGCTGCCTGAACGTGTTAGAAATGGTCTTTCCGTCTTTCTCCTGCCGTCTTTCACTGCCTCAAACGATCGTCAAAGGTGCCCGAGGGGTCCGCAACCCTCCTCACATGTCACCGGGCTCATAGTAATCCCCATCTTGCAAGATTTCTTGAGCTACGTAGCTAAGGCAGGCCTAGGCCGCAATAAACGAATGACACGAAAGCAAAGCTGCGCCCCGCAAGGCATTGAGCATCCGGGAGATGAATCCTCCCACAACGTTCCTCCTCTCGGTTCCGGAACACCTCCCCCTTACTTCTTTCCGCCCTGCTGCTGCTGACCGCCCTGCTGCTGGGCTCCTCCGCCGGCATTGGCGTTGGCGTTGGCGTTGCGGTCCCCTGCGCTCTGGGCCCTGGCAGCGAAGCCACCGGACGACATGTCCTTGCCGCCCTGTGCCTGTGTACGGGAGGACGCGGGTTAGCTCTTGCCTACAGACTCTCGGGAAACGGGGAGGCGCGGAAGGAGGAGAACGAACCTGGGCGCTCTGGATGCGGGCGGCGTCCTCTTTCGTCATTTTGCCAGACATTTTGCGTGGTTTGGGGGGGTTCTTGTTCTTTACGGGTGTGTTCGTGTAGAATGGTCTTGGGTCTTGGATCCGGTCGAGTGTGTATCCGATGAGGTCCAGAGGATATCGCAACCATTTTTGGAGAGACACGAAGCCGGCTTCTTATAACCGCCTCGATCCTCTCTCGGTCCTCGCCATTGTGTTGTCTTTTGCCCAAGGTCCAATGCCCCGATAGCCATAACCGCACGGCGCCTCCCGCATCAGTTCCCCACCAAACAACGTTTGCGTCGGCTGGCCTCCCGTAGAAACGCGAGGCGCCTGCAGCCCGAGAAGTGTGCGGGCAACCGCCTGGCCGACGTGGTGATGATTGTGATGGTGGTGACCTACCGCATCGGTTCACCGCCAAAGAACGTTTGCCTCGGCTGGCCTCCCGCATAAACGCAAGACGCCTGCAGCCCACGAAGCGTGCGGGCAAACACCTGTTCTACATGGTGATGATTGTGGTGGTGGTGGTGGCCTACCGCATCGGTCCCCCGCCAAACATCGTTTGCATCAGCCGGCCTCCCGCATCATTATCTTGCATACCGACAAAAAGTTGCATGTTTCATTTTAAACGGCAACGCATGAGAGCACCTTTGGCAAAGCCGCGTCATACTACACGTTCTTGTAGTCTGGTTTGTGAGTTTGGTGACGGAGTTGTTCGGCCGACGACATGCCGCCACAAACCAAACCCGCATCGGTCCTTTGACAGACCGACAGATAGTACCTGAGTAGAGGTAAACAAGCCTCGCATAGTTGATAAATCGTTGTATTGTTCATTTGGCCCACTGCTCTGCATGCAGTGCGTGCTTGTTTTCCTCAGGCGCGTTTATATATGTATATATATATATATATATGTGTGTGTGTGTGTGTGTGTGTGTTGGGCCAACATCGATCCAAAGACACCGGCCATGCCCGTGGCCAAGCACCGTCATGCAATGCAGATGAGCCTCAAACATCTCTCCTCTGTCCTCCGGCTCTCTCAGTCCCCCACTGGGACATGCCTGTTTCTGATTTATGGCAAAGATGAAGGAGCTAAAGCAAACACAATAATGCAGTGCCAAAGAATGCTAATCACAGCCAGAGTACCCTCACCGGGAGCGCGCCAATTAAGCATATGCCTGCCTCCTCGTCTAGTCTTCATATTCCTTTCTTTTTTTTCCCTTTTCTTTCTCTTTGCTGCTCTCTCGTTCTTTGAGGTTTCAGTACCTCATAGTCGCAGACTTGTATGTTTCATCCCCTTGCATGCATAATTTAGACTCAGCTCTCGGCAGCAGCCTTGAGCTCCTCGTCGACCTGGGCCCTAACGGCCTCACGCACCTTCTGCCAGTCGTTGGTAATCTCTGTTACCCTCTTCTCCTTCTCCTCCAAGCCGATGAACTCAGACGGCAACACCTTCTCCTCGAAATTGAAACCGGGCTCCTCCTTGAGCGCAAGATCGACGGCCCCGGCAAACTTGGCCGGGTGGGCCGTCGAGAGCGAGATGTGAGGCACCTCGGGTCCCGCACGGCTAATGGACCGCTCGGAAGCGGCGACGCCGATGGCGGAGTGAGGGTCCAAAACGTAGCCGATCTTGTTGTAGTAGCCCTTGATGGTCTCAATGGTCTGGGGATCGCTGACGCGCTCACTCTCAAAGTCACGGCGGGCAGAGTTGATCACGTCTTGGTAGACCGGGCCGAACCCGCCCTTGGTCTTGAGGTCCTTGAGCCAGGAGGACACCTCCTGGCCAGCCTGCCTCTTGTTCCACTCGTCGTCCATGCCGGCGCTGGAAGCAAACTCGTAGGCCAGGAACCATAGCAGCCGCTCAAAGTTGCTGGAGACAAGAATGTCCATGGCGGGGCTGAGGGTCTCCTTGACGCCGTCCTCGTGCGCCTTGACACCGTCCTGTGCGAGGCCGCCAGTGGCCTCCGAGGGAGGCGCGGGCTGCTTTTCGTATCTGCCCGTCGTCCAGAATCGGTGAAGGATGTCGTTCTCGTTGGTGGCGATGACAAGCTTGTCAACGGGGAGACCCATGCGGAAGGCGAAGTAGCCGGCGAGAATGTCACCAAAGTTGCCAGTGGGCACGACAAAGCGGACCTTGTCGCCAATGTTGAACGATTCGGAGGACTTGGCGAGGGAGAAGTAGGAGTGGAAGTAGTAGACGATCTGGGCCAGGATACGCGCCCAGTTGATGGAGTTGACGGCGCCGAGGTTGTGAGTCGAGTTGATGTCGGGGTCGGCGAAGAGAGCCTTGACGATATCCTAGATGGTTATAGGTGTTAGGGGTGGACTACGGGATGCGGCCGTCTTGGTGTGTGTCTTACTTGGCAGTCGTCAAAGGTGCCGGTGACGGCAAGGTTGTGGACGTTGTCATCCAGAACGGTAGTCATCTGGGCTTCTTGGATGGGGCTCACACGGCCCTTGGGGTGGAGGATGAAGACGGAGACATCCTTCTTGCCTCGCAAGCCGTAGATGGCGGCAGAGCCGGTGTCACCGCTCGTGGCACCGACCACAGTCAGATGGTGTCTGTCTGCACGCAAGTTTTAGTCCGGCACGGCCGATGGAGGCGGCGGCTCGCAGGTAGGCGCGCAAGCCGCAGAGTGCATACATACCCTTCCCGGTCTTGCCCTCATTCTTGCGCACGAGGAAATACTCGAACAGGTTGCCGAGGAACTGCAGAGCAACGTCTTTGAAGGCAAAGGTCGGCCCGTGGAACAGCTCGAGGAGGTAGAGATTGTCATTGAGGTGGCGGAGCGGCGTGGTCTCGGGAGCCCGGAAGGTGGAGTAGCTTCGGTCGATGATGTCCTTGAGGTCGGCGGAAGGGATCTCGGAGGAAGAGATGTATAGAGACAGGATCTTATGGGCCAGGTCGGGGAAGGAGAGGTCCATCCAGGACTGCCAGTCACCGACTTGGGGGATGTGCTCGGGAATGAACAGACCGCCGTCGCTGGCAAGGCCCTTGAGGACGACGTCTTCGAAGGAGAACTGGTGGATTCGGTCAGCATATGCGGCTCAAGGTCCCGATGATACTCCGATGGCGCCAGGGCAGGCAAGGCCAATCAATAGCGGGATTAAGTGGGAGGAAAGATGGGATGGAGGGTCATACACCACTGTCCTCTCCGCGAGTGCTTAGGTAACGCTGCGACTGGGTGTGGGTGTTATCGACAGGCGCGTCGCCGGTTTCGCCGTTGGTGGCCATGATGACTTTTTTATGCAGTGGAGGGAGGAAGAGGGGCAGGGGGAGAGGAGAGAGATGGGCAGCTGGTCAAAAGCGGAAGCGAAGCCCGATGGAAGCAAAGAAAAAGAGAATGGAGCGATTGGGGGGGGGGGGGGGGGGGAATATGCGCGCGCAAGACGTCGTCGCTCTGGGAACTGCAACAAGATGTTAGCGAAAAGAAGGACGACGGTGTGCGAGCGGGAGAGGAAGAAAGTACAACGAGACCAAAAGTAAAAATATAAAAAAAAGAGTCATAAACGTACCGGCAAGTACGTCAAGTGGCCGAAAGTCGGTCTCGTCGAGTCGGGGGGGTCGAGTCGACCTCCCGGCATGGTTACCCCTCCAGAGTGTTCTGCCTCTCTTTTTTCAGTCGATGCCGTAAAGCTTGCCCCGCACTACATACCGTAGTGTACACCCAAACGTACCGCACCTTTGCTGTCATTTTTGGTCCCCCGCTCTTCATGCCCTTGTTGATTGGCCAATCAGTCTTCCTGGCAGACCCGCTCTGCCCTACCTAGGTAGGTAGGTAGGTACTTACCCAGGTGGCACACCGCCCACCTCATGCAACATGCGGTATGCCGCCCCTCCATCCTCTCTCCCGGCCAGTTGGAATCAAGTCAATATCAACACGATGCACCTGGACTCTGTCCGGAGCTTGCCACGTGCGCCTGGCATTGCGCCTGCCCAATACTAATCCTTGAATCGTTGAGCCAGCGACAACAACAGCCATAAGATACGTCACATCCAGCTTTGCTGGTGGGCATTGGTGCTGATGCACACCTTGCTGTTGAACCTCCTCAATGCTGCCTGTCAAGCAGGGTAGTCGAGACTGCCTCTTCATCATTCACCCGTATCTGCTGTTGCCAGCGTGGTTCAAACATAGTATTGGCTGGGAAATCATCACCCTAATTTATCATCGCCGTCGTTCCACAAAGAGGAATAAACATACACCCTCGCTCTTTGACGCCTGCCGCCCATAATCCATCCGTACTGGGTATCTTGAAGAGACGAGAGAAATGGAAAGAGAAAAAAGTGGGAGGAAGAGAGAGAGAGAGAGAGTGTGTGTGTGTGAGAGAGAGAAAAGAAATGACGAGGGCAAAAACGCCGGCGAAAGCCTCCCAACACTCAGGGCTGCCGAATCATTCACCTCGACCATCAAAAGATGTGTCATTTCCTAAGTGACTTAAGCAGTGGCGCGATCCTTGACTTCCTGCTGAGCCCCACTCGATATATCGGCTTCCCCGTCGAAGAAGCAGGCATCGTCGGAGTCTTCTTTTTATCGGCTTTGCCCACCGCCTCCGCCTTAACCTGCTCATTGACGGATACGGTTTTGTCAGCCATCGCTTTCAGCTCTGGTGCCGCGATTTCTGGACCCAGTCCTTCAGAGCAGAGCTTCAACGCCGCATTGGACGCCACGGGCTGCAGCACTAGAGATCCGTCCCTCGCCTGGGGGCCGTCGCCTGTTGATGTCTCTACCACAGAGTCAACCGGATCTTGCTTCTTATCGCCCCGTCTGCCCCTGATGGATTTGGCCCTTTCGCATGGTTGCATCTCTTTCGTATGCTTCTCATCCATTGCAGTTTCGGCTTGGCTGCTATCGCTCGGGTTCGCTGCTTCTACTATAGGCTGTGCCTCAGCCTCCTGCTGCGTGCTCACTGCCGTAGCCTTATTCGTCTTCCTTGGCCGACCACGCTTCTTGGTTTGCGGCGTCCCCGCTGCCACGTCCACTGCCACGTCCGCTCCTATCAGATCCTTGGCGACATCGCACGATTCACTGGCTTGCGGCGAGACCGGGACCACTGCAGTGACGGTAGGGACGACAGCAGCTGCATGAGATTTCTTCGGCCGTCCCCTCTTCTTCGTCTTTGCTGTGCTAGCTGGCGCAGGCTCCTCAGTGGGGAGCTGCGCGGCAGGACCCATGTCAGCCACAGGCATATCCGTCTCTTCTAGGTTCTCTGCTTGGTCTTGCCAACAAGCGTCGCTACCCCTCCGTTGACTGAGGCGAGGCCTATAAGTTTCATCGAGGAAGGCAATGCCATCTGTTTCCCACTTTTCACGGCCTTCATGAGCTTCTGCTGTCTTGGGCAAACTGCAGTCGGATCTGTCCCTCTTCCGGCGGGCTGGTGCAGCAGATATGATATCAGGCGATGATTGCAACTCTACGATTGCCTCTAGATGTTGTGTTGGAAAAGAAGCCTGTTGTGTCTGCTCTGGTACTGTATCAAGAGTTGTATGATCCGCCAAGGGCACCAGCGGAAGGCCAACCACGCGCGTCTGGCTCGGCGTGGAATATGCAATGGTCGTCGCCCCGCTTGAACGAGCCGTGGCTGGCAGAGTAGAGAATGGCTGAGTGGGTACGGGTCCTTGATCCTCTGGAGATGGGTTAACTGAGTGATACTGGTACTCCAGTCGTTGACTTGCGCTCAGAGTCTGGGGCTCGATGCACAGAGAAACAGGCTTCTGGCCAGAGACCAGATCTGTAAACGAGGGTACACCGACATCGTCTGGGACCACCACCATGTCAATGTCGTCTTCTGCCGGCCCTGACGGCCCGAGGTTCTCATGCCTTGATCTTTTGATTTCATGAACAGAACCAGCATTCCTCCTTGTAGCAGGCGTGATGTCGAACGGCTGTGTCGAGCCCTGAGAAGGCATTCCAATGGCCAATGGAGAGGTTAAATCGATAGTGGTCTCCCGTTTTCGCTTAGTGTTGCTCCTGGGTGTCCTGACTGTCGCGGAAACGAAAACAGGTGCCGCTTGGTTGCCTGCCGGACTGCTGGGAACATCCCACATATCTTTCGGCATCGTACTAATCCTCCTGCCTGGCGTGGTAACTTGAGCAAGGTCTGCCACCTTTGCCTTCCCCTTCGCGCGAATGTGATCCTTAATGGGTTCGGCGATGGAAATGGGTGACGAAGCGGTTGTGGTGTCTTGTTTCACTTGCACCTTGACATGAGGAGAAATGATGTTGGGCTCGTTGAATGCAAGGGATTGGCCGGGAATCGTTGTTGTCTCAATAGCAGCCGCGCGTTGTTGCTCAGTGTAGACCTCTTGGAAGAATTTGGGATCGGTTGAGCCAGTCGCGATACTGGCAGGGTCGGAGGAACGGCTTCCGCTCGGGACTTTGGGAGTTGGCGGTTTCAAAGGGCTATCTCCCAGTTCGAAGTCGTCGTCGGAATCATCCGAATCAGCGATAACCCGGGCGAGCGCCATTGTCGAGAGGTGGCGAGAAGTTCGCGAGGTAGAAGCGTCAAGACACGCGCTTAGCAAGGGGGCGAAGTGGGAAAAGTAACGCCGTGTACGGAGTACCTGCACGGTCACCGAGGTAAACCTACCTACCCTGCAAGGTACCTAGGTAGCTGTTACCTAGGTACGGATAGTTGACGCGCTCATGCCCCTCGTAGATCATTTACGCGACATCACGTGTGATTCACGTGATCTACCACACTTGAGAGTGAGGTCTGTGCATCCCGGGTCATTGGCCCCACTACCTCCGTCCATTCGGAGCCGGGTCACCGGATAGTAGCCGAACTATTGGGGCTAGGTTCAGCGCCATCGATCTCATTAGTTTCGCATGATCTTTTATTGTAGTCTTTGGTTGTCAAAAACTGTCTAGGCATCATCGGGCCGAGAAAACTACTCGATCTCTTCTATTCTAGGCCGCTTGGTGTTGACGGATGGAAGTGACCGGTCCTGGTCGATAGTCAAGCCGGCTAGCCTGCTGATGCCTGGTTCCATGGCAGAAGGCTCTGGAGGAATCATAGACGAAATTTGCCAGGCCTCCAAGCTCTCGATGACGTCCCGAGCATGCTGTTGAACCAGGCCGTCGTTATCTGTAACGGCGACGTACTTGAGGGTCCTTGTGATATCCTCCCGGCTCTGGTCTGTCAATCCAAAGCCAAGCCTCCGACCTGATTGCTTCGCAGCATCAAGAGCGCGCACAAACCCCAATACGACCATGATAGCTGCACGACGAATGATACCTTTCTCAACTTCTCGTTCCAGTGCCAAAACGTTAATGCAGAGATCCACGGCGATTGAGACCAAGTCAGGGCCAATGCCGGAAATGTTTGTTTCAAGGCCGGTAGAGAAAACGGAGAGGGCGGATGCTCGCATACGGACGTCCTCGCTGCCTCTCTTGCTTTCCCAGCCCTCAACAATCTGAGTCAAAATTTCATGCTTGGCTTGCTCTTCTTCAGTCAGATCATCGCCAAGGTCAGGGACGTCTCCTCCCCAGGCGTCCTCTGCCTGTTTCTGTTTCATTTCCTGAAGGCGCTGTTCACGAGCCTGTTTGGCTTCTGTCTTTGGCCTGTATCCCCGTCTTCCGGCAATCGACAAAAGTGTTTCGGAAATACGCTTTGCGACATCGCCAGCAAAAGTTTCGCCGAGGCGCTCAATTACCTGAACCAAAGCCTCTCCGAATCGTAAGCGGACATCTGTCGTAGACTTCTCCTTCGCATCCAAGTAATTTTCAAGAAGCTCCAACGTGGTTGCCTTGGGATGTTTGCTGGCCAGCTGTGTGAAGAGCTTCACGACTCGAAGGTTAATGAAGTCTTCACTATCTTGGAGTAGAGAAGAAAGGAGAACAAGAGTGGCCTGCACATCTAAAACAGTGCTGTTAGAGGCCACTAGGCCAGATATGAGGTTGAGGCCTTCCGAGCGGACTGGGGGAGGATTGTCTGCTTGGGTAATGTATTCCAATGCAAGTTTATACGTCCTCCTGTCCTCAATTTGCCTTTCGGTGGGCACGAAGCCATCTTCCTCCGCAGGATCGATCGCTTCGCGATATCGAAGTAAGAGCACAAGGTTCTTCGCCGTGGGGGACACTTCTGAGCGCCTCGCTTTGCTAAGTATATCCAGCGAAGTTTCAAGATTTTGTAGAATATCAGCTTTGAGATTCGACTTTTTGAAATTCGGAGCCGTGATGATAAGATTGAGCAAGCTCAACGCCACTGCGACAATGTCATCAGGTTGGTCTTGGATGGCATTGGGGTCCAGTATTTGACAGGCAAGCTCGTGGACTTGGGTGACGCGGCTGACTAGCTTGTCCGGGATCCGCTCCAGCATCTTCTGCAGGACTGTGATCTCCAAAAGTTGCGTGATCTCGTTACCAGACACGCTGTCTTCTGCCCGAAGAAATACCTCCCGGTTCTTGGCTGAGGTCGTCGACTGAAGCCACCGACCGAGGAGTTCCAGAAAAAAAGAGGACACCTCCTCTGGTGTGCAACTAGCTGTCATAAGCCGTATGAGCGACTCGGAGCGAATCTGAATTTCGTTCCAGTCTATTTCCGGCAGCTGCGGGCCATGTCCGAGGGGGACGGCAGATATCTGAAGGCAACCGTCAGAGATTGTCTGGTATCGCCATCGGGGCGTGGTCGTCGATTCGCCTTCGTAAAGCAGGTTCTCAATAACCAAGTGCAGTTTAGAAACGGAGACGCTCAGTTTGAGAAAGGTGTGAAGCAGGGACCTTGCAGGCTTTGAGTAGCGCTCTTCAGTTTTCTGATCCCCCTTGCTCATGCAAGATATCGTCCACAACTGGGGGAGAACGGGGTCGAGAATTCTTTTGGTCTGCGCTGGGTATGGTGTGTAGTTGATCAACGAAGACATACGACGAAGGGTTACAAAGAGGTCATCCGCCTGAACCAGAACAGCCTTGTCACTAAGATCCACAACGTCGATTTCCTCTGTCTTTCCGAGAGCTGTAACGCCCACATGCTTCCGAGAAGGATTCAGATTGCGTAAGAGAGGCTCAATGAAGACATTCCAACCCGGGGACCCTAAGTCAAGGTCAGCAAGGAGACTAATATGAGGGTGATGGTTTTGTTACCGGGTGCGCCAAACTGTTTTCTGCCCAGCACTCCAAACATGATGATCTGTGCCGCAGCTTTACTGAGCTCTGCGCCTTCATTTCCATCCAGCAGCGTAATCAGTTGGGGTGCAATCCTAGAGAACCAATCTTCAGGCGGGATAGTCGCAGGTGGCGAAGTGATGATGCGAGTAACCACAGCCATGGCCTCCTGAGTAATATTGGCACCCGTTTTCTGGGGTGTGGCGGCCTCGGATGCCTTCAGAGTGCTGCTCGGATGCACTGAGAAGATGAACTCCATGGTTCCCCGAACGCCGTCAGGCCGAAGAGGAATCAGGGTCAAGATCTTCATCAGCTCTGGCCGCAGCCATGCCGGTGCAGCATTTGGCTTGATTAATGCATTCAATACAGGAAGCAAGTTCCAGGACCCATTCCTAGACCCTTTATCAGAATGCTCCGCTTGCCATCTGGCTGAGTCGCATCGACATACCCATCTATGAGATGCTGGAACTCATTTCGGGCAGCTCCTCTCGAGGCAGCGTCGGCCGTAGGATCAAACGCCCTTTTCCCGGCGTCGAGTACCTCATCGGCTAGCTTGGATTGCCGATCTCTTCCAGGCGTATTCGTTTCCATTACGGCGATGGTGTGATGTCGTTATCGTGAATGTGAAGGTTCTCTTTCCGTCTTAATAATTCCAAATGATGAGCGAAGCTTCGCGTCAGTGCGTCGGACATCACAGTATTAGGCACGGTGTCCGGCACGTTGACCGTCATCTTCGTCTGCACGTGTCTACGCGCTATGGGGCCCACAGTTGGGCTCCACGCGTCTCAACGCGTTGCTTCCCTCCCTGCTCTTTCCAGCGTGAGCTCAACCTTCTACTTCACCTTTCGACTCCCACACATACTCAACCCATCACCTTTGTTGAAAGTCGGATCTTGGCCTGTCCTGATATCCCGCATTTTCCAGAGGACAGTTCGAGATACGACATCGAAGCCCAGCTGTGGACGCCCTGTCGCGACCAAAGGAAAGCTCTCTCGCCCACACCGGCTCTATCACGCACGACACCTCCCGTTCAGTTCTCCGACTCTCATTTTCCGCGAGGAATGTCTATTGCAGACCTCTCAACGAAGGCTGCGATTTCGCGATACGTCGCATCCGAGCCTGTATCAGGACCTCGCGCTTGCCGCGGTTGGAGCTATCGCGATCTATGGTTGTCTATACCAGACAATGCAGTCTAGTTGAGAGAATGGGTTTCGGAACTTAACCCTAAGCAGCCTTTTGGTTCAAGTTTTGCGTCTGCAGTCGTCGACCCTGTCTTTTAAACCCGCACGAACTGCCGGGGAAGCGATCGCCGCTGAAAAGTGGCAAGCCTCGCCGGGAGCCGTGGTAGGTGGACTGGCAGGGAAAACATTCCAGTCACCGTCAGGTGCGCGAGAGGGGGTTGCTATGAGTCGTCTGGGTAAGAGCCTCTGGTCTGAGGCCGCTCGTCAGGACCTATCCGCTGGAACAGCACTCTGGCCAAGAGTAGGTCGCTGGGAGAAGACAGCTGTCGTGGTCTGCAGGATTGCACTGGTAACGTCCTGCTTTTCGGGGTTCTATGTCGTGCCAGTGTAAGAGGCTCGACTCTGCGTTGCTTGGTTTGGGGACAGAGCTCAGCGTCGGTCACACACAGTCAGTATCGCAGTTTCAACCCGCAATCTGCCTCAGTCTTGCCTCGCCGGCCGCACGACCAATGTTGCGAGGATTCCTAGGTCTACAAACAGAAACTTGTCGATCTGACCACATCAACCACGCTCAGCTCTCGGCTCTCTCCTTTCCGACACACGACCCCGAACTGGCTCGGCAGAGAAGAAATGCCAGTGTCAGATCCTGTAGCCAGCCAGCAATTTTCCGAGCCACACCAAGGCAACTGCCACCGGTGTGACATGCCCGCATGTGATCTGGCCAGGCGCATCAGCCTCCAGTCGTGGGTTCTGTCCCACGACATTGGGGGACGCCAAATCCTCGTTGTTCCCCCCTGTGGATCAACACTTGCCCAATGGTCTTCCGGAAACGGGACCAAAGGATGAGAGCGCGGTTTTTTGTGGATGTCTTTTGTCCGCGCGGAATGCCCTCCTTTTGCGATTTGTCGCTGGAGAGGAAACAAAAACTAGTCCAAGGAGGTCGTGCGAACCAAACAGAGTGAGCTTCTTGGTTGCTTCGGACTACACAGAACTAGGCTTCGATTCGCCGAACCTCGGATGGCGAGATATATGACGGCTGTGCTGAGTGAGCAAAGGCGACTCTGCGGGTGGCTTCGTGTCGGAGGCGGTGGCCGGCTGAACAGGTTCAAGGCGATCCTGGGACCCATCTCGTGTTGGAGTCAAAGTTTTGTGCTTGTCCGGGATCGCGGTGGGCCTGGACTGCCAGTCTCCCTCAAACCGCTCGAAGTTTGTGCGCTTGTTGGATCAAAAGGACAGGCCGTTGGAAGGTAGTCCTGGTTGTCGTCTCTCCAGAAATGGCGAGACGGCAGCCCCCTGTGGCTGGGGATAAGTCAAACCCAGATCCCCGAATACATTTGATGCAGGTGCTAACTCTTGTCTAGAACCGCGGACAACAACTTGGCTGGCGTTTCGGGGCTGAATAAGAAGACCAACACACGAATCTCCGGAGCCTAAGCAAAGTCGCACGGGGCCCAAACCCGACTGGTCTGGATCATGGCGCGGAAGGTTAACCCAAACATTCGTAATTGTGCTCACGGATAAACCTTGAAGCAGGCGCATTGTGCAAAGGGATCAAGCTGCCCAGAGCATTCCACTTGTCAACGTCGTCCACCTGTAATTATACTCTGTGCTCTGTGCCTACGTGTACACACTAAGACCCAGGCTAGACAGTCATGACCAATGTTATGCCGCCCTGCAATCGTCGGAGATATCTGGGGGAGGCAGGGGGTAGTAGCGTAGCGGCCCAGTGACCCCACTCCAGAGCTTGATTCGCTGGCCCACCATTGATCTGAAACCCACTATTGTAGCAATCCCAGTCCCAGCTCCCCCCAGCCTCTTGACGTCATTCCCGATCCCGATCCCAACCAGGAACTGGACAAACAAAGGCCATTCATAAATTAGCAGCGACGACAACAGTAAGCAAACAAAGTAACAACGTTGGCGATCGTCGTTCCACTCACTATTTCTCCCTCTTCCGTCTTCCTCTCACGACGCACGCCCCGTCCAGTACGGTGCTTGGGTCTATTCCGGTCGAACTCGGGTCGGTGGCTCCATTGTTGTAATTCTCACGTCGCGCTGTCAACGCACGAAATCGACACCATCGTCTTGCCTCCCCCCAGGTAGTCCGACTTTGCTGAGGAGACAACGATTCACCATGGCCTTGCTTCGTGTCTCCCTGCTGCCGCTGGCATTTTTGCAGCTTGTTCTTGCTGCTCCGGCCGACCCTGCTCATCCCATGATCACGCCACCACCAACCCGCGTGAAGCGAGCTCCCGATGTCACCGATGACATCGGTAATTATGTCAATAGCGTTATTAAAGGTCTGGGAAGCGATGTCTCCTCCTTCGTCGTGTCCGGCATTCCCCAGTACTTCCAGGGGTTTCCGACAGGCACCCAAGTACTCAGTTCTCTGGGAATCAACGATGGCGACCTTGCTGCACAGCCGACTCAGGCCTTGAACATCCCGTGAGTAATCAAATACTTTCGTCAGTTGCACAACACGCGTTTACTGACATGTACTGCGTAGGGCTTACGGTAATTGGACCGACGAGGGCTGGAACGTCCGCGTTCATGGCAATATCTATAAACAACCCAACATTAGCCAGTCGAAGGTTGATGACCTGGCCAATGTTTTCCTCATCGACGTCGATATTGCAGATTTGGGCCCCACCGAACAAGCCCAGGCACGAAATGTGACCAGGTCCATCTTTGTCGTTCAACAAGGCGAGCAGAACGTCACCATGAACTTTGTCAACGATGTTTCGGTGCGGCCAGGTGCGAGCGGAGGGGCCGTCAATGCGCGTGGTGGTGCCCAAACAATCAACATGCCCTACCTGACTACAGACCAGGGCGACTTTGATGCGTTTGTCAAGCTGCGCAATACTACAGGGTCGAGCGGTGGACACTTACTCCCAGGCAACGCCACGGAGTCGATACAAACCCTCAACATGTACACGAATGGTACCAATACTGGCAATGCGACAGCGTATCTAGTGCCTCCCCAGGGCATGACGATCTTGTCCGACATTGACGACATTCTGCGTGTTACCAAGATTTATGAACCCAAGGAAGGCCTCCTTAATTCCTTCGCCCGTCCTTTCACGCCTTGGATGAACATGCCCGAGATTTACGCCAATTGGTCCGCGTCCATCCCGGACTTTCACTTCCACTACTTAACCACGACTCCTGAGCAGGTGACTCGGAATTATATGGAGTTTATCTACAATACTTACCCTCTGGGTAGTTTTGATACACGCCCGCTCAACTTTTCTGATGTTCAGGCGACCCTGTCCATCCGACGGTTCCTGCTCGACAAGATTTTCCAGACCTTCCCTCAGCGAAAGTTTATCTTGGTAGCCGACACCACGAACTCGGATGTGATGAAGGCGTATCCTGCAATGTACAAAGACTACCCGGGCCAGGTCCAATGCATATTTCTGCGCAACACCAGTGCCACGGACTCTGGCAACAAGTTCCCCTACAATACGGCGGGATTCAAGGATATCCCCCAGAACAGCTACATGTTCTTTAGGGTGCCGGACGACCTGACTAATCTTGACATCGCCGGCGGGCAGTGCTACAATGCTACCATTCCACAAAATGTTACATTCAAGACGCAGGGGTTGCCATTCGGCTTGGGTAACGCGGCTGGATCTATTTCGCCCCCCACCACGTGGGCAGCAGTTGTCGGTATGATTGTAATGGGTTTGGCAGCTCTTACGTAATGCCGACAGGCTTAGCAGAGAGGTACAGAATGTATTTAGCATCTGTTTCAAGAAGTTATTAATCGTGAGCTTGATTTCTTACATCCGCTTCGCTTTCCCTACGTTGTATGCGGCAGGTGGTTATGCAGCAGGCAGTCTGATTATGCTGGGGAATGGGTTTTGGCAATGAGTACCCTGGCCTAAGGTTGAGGTGTTGCCGAAGGGCATCGTCCCTTTGTTGATGGAAATAGGCGGCCGGCTAAAGGATCTACAAGCCGTGATGTGGCTACTATCAAATACGACCTATCACGGCAAAGGGGAATACGGATAGCGTCCTGCAGCCTGACGTCCACCCACTCATACGCGGCATGCATCACAGGGATACGCCCCTCTCTCCATCGATATGAACATATTGATGGAGCGACGAGGGAGGGTTGGTTGGCCTGCCTCGCTTGGCAGGTGGAGGTGTTATGGCTGCTGCCATCCCGTTCAGAGTCATGCGGTACGTGTTCTCGGCCCGAGGAAATCTGGCTGGGAGGGCGGGAAGAGGACAGGCCTCCCGTCGGAGCGATGACTATACTGGGCGCCACCCGTTGCGACGGCGACGTTGGACCGCAGCTGTGTGTAACCGGATTAGTTACGAGTGGTAACCAATCCAATTGAATGACGGTGTCTGTGAGCCTCCTCTACCCCATTCCGAGGTAAGACTGGACGATGACAGATATCGACTGGGTACTGTACATACACTAGTTGGCGGAAGCGTGTCAAGGTTCGATGCGACAGGATGCTGTAGTCTGGAGATGCCATGTGGACCAATTAGACTAGCCCGAGATCTGACACATGAGGACGTTGACGTCCGTTATGAGGCTGAACCAGGCCTTATCAGACGAGTCGTGGTGAGGATACCCAGCTCTGATGTAGAGAGTGCGAGGTGTTTCGCAGTCGGGGGAATAGCCCGCCCGGTCTGTTGATTGTGACATTGTGCATAAACCGCAACCTGGTCACAACTCATCTGCAGACTTGCACATGACGCGGATGCCTATCAATAACCCCCGGGCTCTTCAGAGTGTTCCATACGTGACTAAATCTCAGTAACCCCCTACTGGCCCTGGTCACAATGGCGAGTCGCTTCTGGCGTGCAGTGTGTGGCAGGTGTGTGGGCGAGTCTGCTTTATCGGGGTCCTGCAGCGGATTGACGGTCTAATCATTGCTTGGAGGACCATTTGGCGGCAATGACAGAAAGCAAAGAAAAGCGTCGGAAGCCCTCAGGGTTTGGGATGGACATCCCGGAGCCGAACTCGGTTTGGCCAGGCCACATGTGTGGGCCGTGCAACTTCGCTCTTGGTAATGCTACTGGGATCATGACATGTTGTTGTTATTGGATGTTCAGATATCGTTTTCAAATTGTGCCTCTCATCTGCTCCGGGACAGCCTCCGCCTTCTCGCATGGCATGTCATCATCAGCTTATGCCAAATAACTTCCTGTGAAGTTGGCGGAACAAACATTCCGGATCATGGTTGACACTGGTGTTGGTGCTGCTGTGCCAATGACGACCCTCACCTGCGCCAATATCCGAATTCGTCTGCCGTGCTGTCTGTCGATGCTGTGTAACCGGGGGGTTTTTTTTTTTTTTTGCGGCCAAATATCGACGACTCGTGGTGAAATTTCTCTGGTGTAGGGTTATGTCGCGTAGTCGAAAATCACCTGGTAGTCACCCGTCCAATGCGCGTGTCTACAACGAGAGGAAGCCTGCAATCATGCTCTGAACCGAAGCGAGACTCACTGGACGAAGTAGCTTACATACACACACCATGCTGCAGGCTCGCTGCAACATGCAGGATAGTCCGAACAAAGTCGAGGGAGCATATCTGGGCACACTAACTGTTCCTGATATGCATCACGTAAGCTGAGGCACACGGCAAGAGCACTCGTTTCTGGTGGCGGGCGCCTTCCATTCCAGGACATCCTTGCCATGCATGTCATTGCATTTCTGCCGTCCACTTCCAGTCCGCTCCGCTGCTCATCTTCCTTTCAATTACATACCAACATCAGCGCCGCTCAAGAACACCAACATGCCATCCCGATTTGACACCCCTCCAAGTCACCCGACATCGGACGGAGCCGCCCTTGCCAGAACGCTCGTCTGAACTCCGGCATTGCTTACTCGCATTAGAGCCTTTTATTGGAGGCCCTTTCCTGCTACACATCCGACGGCTTGCCGTCGTCTCTGCCGTGCACCACACAGCAAGCATGAGGCCTGTCACGAAAATTGACCTGTTAGCCACACTTACGACCCAGACGACGGTAACCTCACCTATCCTGTCGGGTACTATCCTGGATGGAATGTGGCATATGGCAGCCCTGAGGAGGAGGAGGAAGAGGAGGAGGAGAGGGCATGCCTGATACGAACGCCAAACCGCCAAATGTGGCTTACATCCTGTGGGAAAACCACCATCCCATAATGAGCCTCAACAATCATTACTAACCGAGGCCATCCATCGCTATACCGACTTCTCGCCTATATGTCCCTTGATATACCCAACCTGCCTACCTATCTTCCAGCCACGAGGTACTTATGACCATCCTGACCCTTCGCTGCAGATCGCTGACGAGCTAATTTAGGCCATCTTTGGAGGGGGGACCGGGTGGCACAAACCTGTCGGAACCAACGCCACCATCTCGTAGGACAACGTTGACGCTTGGCAGCCTCTTTCGATCATTCCGGTGTGACATCCTTTGGTATTTTCGAGGAGATGAGCTTTGAGCCTTGAATCTTGTGCCTGCTCTTCCAGCAGTTTGAATTCCCGCTCACATGTGCCCGCGAGGTGGTTAGCACCTCGCCTTCTTCAACTTGGCCCGATGCAACGCAAACGTCGGTTTTGAAAGTCGGCATTTTCCCCTTCCTTTTTTCTACTTCTTTTTTCGCCCGTTCGATCAGTTATATGCACGTCGCCACCTTCCTTCACACCCTCCCCTTCCGGCCCTGCTGGTTGCGACTATGCCCATCGCCGGCTTGTTGGACGACACCCCCTCCATCGACTGAATTGGGCTGAATCGCAAGTTGGAACCTCTGCCAATTTATGTTGAATCGAATTCGAGGTTCAATTATCGATCCGATTGGCTGATCCCTCACCCCACGATCCTATGATAGGGTGGTGGCGATGACAACCGTAGCGCCATTCTGCTAACCCATGCCTGCCCCTGCAAGCAACTCGGTGGCGTGCGCTTCTGTGTCGGCGTTTCTTTCGCAATATTATCAACATCCGATAGCCCTCTTGCGCTGTCGGTTCCCATACGATGTGTCGTCCGCGGGAACTCAGGTCAATGATGATTCGAAGTAGAGGAACGGGTGCGACTGGTACGCTGTTTGGTTCGCCTTCAGCAACGGCATCTCGTGGCCAGGCACGTCATCATTCAAATACCGACGGCCGCATCAGCTTTCTTCTGCCTGGATGACACGAGAATCGAAGGGAGTCTCATTCCTATTTACCGATGAATACTCATGATGCAGCCAACTGACCAAACAACCTTCTCGTGCCAAAACTTCCCATGAAGACGCATATAGACTACAGGTACCGACCCAAAACTTGCCATTAATCATTGTATTGCGTGGTCCTCCTGACTATCACCTCAGTCTTAGCGCATTCTGGAACCAAATAGCCGTCTACGTGGTCGTCTATGTCATACTCAATCTCGCCAGCTCTGTGGTCTCTCGCGGCACTGTTCCTTACAGTCTTCCGCGGTTTTACAAATCCAAGGTCAAGCTTTGTTTGTTATCGAGGTCTTGAGCCCTATAGGTTGTACTGCGTGTCACATTAACATCCATTGATGTACCCGTTAACCTTGACTTTACTTACCATAACGCAATCCTCGCACCGGGCACCGTGAACGTTGACCCAGCCAGGACAGTCAACGCCATGTTTATATCTGTTGACGCAGGGGTACCGGTCCATATTGAAAACACTCGAAGGAGGATAAGAAGTCCGGTATGCTTTGAGAATGGGTTGAGAGGTTTGTGTGACTAATGTCTGTTTGCAGAGAAGTTGAAATACGGTTGACGAGTCGCAATGGGCCCTCTTTATACTTACATTACGGACTGTGGCTGCTGACCGCTGGCTACCTCTGGCTGTGCTCTGCACGCTTGCAACCGACCGGCTCAATGTTCACACAACGGGTTTCCTGCAAGATTGCATGGTAACTGCCCGCAGGTTGCTAGTTACGGAATACTCAGAAGGCACGATGGCTTTCCATAATGAACCTCCACATTACTCACTACCATACATCTGCAAAGCGTCCCTTCGGGCGTGGCCCAGGGATCGTATCCAGCTGGAAGCTCATTTAGGATTGGCTCCATGGGTAAAAGTGGCTTGCATTGACAGAAACGAGAAAAATGAAAACTGACACCAAAGTTTTATCCGTAATCGTGCAAGCCTTATCCGGTTCTCCCGGTGGAGAGTAATTCTATCCCCGTTCGGCGCCTTGCTGGCCCTTCGACCTGCCAAGTGGATACGCCAAGTTTGGTCTCAAGTCGGTTAGGTCAGAAGCCTGCAGTATGCGCCAATCTTCGAAGACATCTGGAAGGCCGGTCCTACTTTCAGGCTTGCTGCAGGATGCTGTTCTGAGCTGTCCTCAACAGCCGTGCAACACAAGACGCGTTCGGACCCCCATGAGGCTCAAAGGAGGCGTGGTGAAAAGCATCGCGGTCTGCAGGAGCCCTGTAAAGCGGGGAGTGACGGGCGAGAAGCCGGTTGATACCTAAGCTTTGGTTAAGTGAAGCATTGACAAAGCCGACAGTCGATGCCGCTTGCCTGACACGCCTGAGTATACTTGATGACAAAGTATGACCAGGAACGAATCAGGCAAGGGAATTTCACCATATCTGGAACAACCGTCAGCCAGGTGATATCTTGCTAGGCATATGGCATATTGATGAAGCGGCACGACGGGTGGAGGGGCATCGGCGGCATATTCAGTGCTTTGGTGTACATCAAGGTATCTTATCCATGGTATTCGAAATCCT